ATATTATTTTATAATTAATTTCCCTCTTATTGTTCTTAGCAAATTTAGTGGTGCAGGATTTTATAGATTATTAAAAGACAAGACATAAATTGTGAAATGACTTCTAAAATTTAAAAGGGGATTTGAAACCCAACCTTCCATTAAGAAAACTGATATATTTGCCCTTACATTAATGATCTAAATATAAATAGGTTCACTATTTCTGAAAATATTCTGTGGGATTTTTGCCAGAAAGTTGTTGAGGGTTTTCTATTTGGTTTGGATTTTTTTTAGTGTAATATTAATTTAAGGAACAGTTCCACTGTGTTGAGTATGTGTTAGTAGGATGTGTATTCATGAGGTAAAGACAGTAGGAAGGCTTCCCTGGAACAGGGAAGAGAGTGAAAGGGTTATAGCAACTTACTTTATGACAAAGGTATAAAAAGCCTTTTTTTCTGGCCATACTGTGGCAGGAGAAGATAAATGCCCAAACTGAAAAAAAAAATTAGAGCACTGTTCTCATACAACCTCAAAATATTTTTTACTTCTGTGAGTAAGCTAACAATTGAAGCAGTGAAACTGAGCAAAAGTAGGAGCTAAAAGTAATGTAGGAAGTCTTCACTTTACCATTGGCAATTCAGAAATATTTATGTCAGATAACTTATTAAAAAAATGGAAAGGGATTAGAGTCACACTTTTACATTATTAATTTACTTATATGTTAAAATTCGGCAGTATTATATACTGACACATTACCACTCTTACCCCAAAATGATAAGTTCTGTATTTCTGAGAAATGGTGACTAATAATAGAAAAAAATGTTGATGTCAATCAACATTTTAGACTATTGTCTCCTATTTATATTTTAGCTAGATTTACACTGTCCTGAATGGGTGCTGGTAAGTGTTTGATTTAAATAAGTTTTGAATTTTGTTTTATAGAAATATCACATCCTAATATGATAGAGGTCACATATTTCTAGCATTATTTTGGAAAGCAGTAGTTTCTTGCTTTTTCAGACATACTTATTTTCCACAAATTTAATTTCTTTAGTGTATCAAACTTTCATTCATGCTATTTACCATTTGAATTATTATGACTACATTACTATTGTTGCATATGTGCTTGATGATATTAATACCTGATGTCGTTTACTTCTTTTCTTTACAGCAAATTAAGGAGAGGGGATCGATTTACAGATACACAATTCCTGAATTCTCCAGTCTACAAAGTAAAAAATAAAGGAAATTTTAAAAGCAAATCAAGATTTTATTGAGGAAGAGAGACTTGCCTTTATGGACAATACTTCTAAAATGGGTACAATTGTTTATGTATATATGTAAATGTTTAGCAATATAGAGTGTTTGTTGTTCTTTGATTAGTAAAGGTCTTTCACAGTGAAATTTTCTGGAGAAGAACCTCTATAAAAGGGGCACAGAACACTTTACTGAGGAAGGCATATACAGGTTAGGCTCTCTCCTGTTTTGCATTTCTGGTCAGTAATTTATAATCTGTTCAAATGGTTTGCTGCACTTCTTAAAATGTTAGAAAAGATATGTTTTAATGAAAAATAAAAATAAACCAGCTTTGGGAATTGTACTGTGAGTTTTTCATGTTTATTTTGAGTGGAACCATTTCTCAGTGCTGGTTGGAATGGATACACGCATGCCAAATTTTTATGAATTTAGTGAAATAAATGGAGATAGTCTTTTTTTGATAGTTGACTTTTGGATTTGAGAGAATCACACTGAGATTTTAATAAGGAAATCTCGTTAAGAAATAATGGTGGGAAGTCAAGTGCCCACAGTATGTGCCAGAGGCAGCAGGGAAAAAATAAAGCCCTGCAGGAGGAATTCAGTAGCAAATAGGATCTAGACAAAGCAACACCTTGAGTTTCCACTTGAGAGTGCCAGTGTGACGATTAATACAATAATGTCATACCATTCAGCTTTCAGGATTTTCTACTGCTTCCCCTCTGCATTCCATAATGTGCTGTCAGCTGACAGCTTTCTGGCAGTATCTGATTTGTAGATGCTACCAGAGGCCTACTACCCACACAGTTTTTACACATTACAATGGATAAGGTTCAGGTTAATTTTGCAACAGAGAGGCATTTTTGATGAGACAGAGATAAGTTAACTTATTTTGGTTGTAGATGGTGGTTCTTCATGCATATACAGTAGATGTTACCAGTTTACACAGGCTTAAAAATTGATCAGACATATTAATGGAAGAAAAATCTATAAGGAATTACCAGAAACACCATTTCTGGCACAGGATGTTTCTGAATTGCAAATTTTTGAAGGCTGGAAGATGATTCTGTAAAAGCCTTACTATGTCTTTGACCAATTTTTGTACATTTTCCAAGGACATTCCCTTCTGTCATTTTCAGAGACCAGTTCTTTGGTTATCTTGATCTTGTGTCTGATACAGCATGTGTCTTATTAAGAGGTGTAACTGATACTCTTAAATTTATAACATATTCTTTAAAAGTATATTCTTAAAATATAATATATTCTTCTAAAAATTGTAATATATTCTTAAAAGCATTCTTTTAAATGTATTCTTTGTACTTCATTGTAGATTACATTGTAAGCTGGGAAGCTGATGGAGAAAATAGTCCTTTAACACTTGTTAAAGACAAGAAGGTGGTTGGGAGCAGCTGGCATTGATTTGCAATCAGGAAATCAGGCTTTATGAACCTGATAGTCTTCTCCAACTAGCTTGGTGGGTGAGGGCAGAGCACTAGATGTTTGTCTCAATTATAGTAGGGCTTTTGATATTTTCTCTGATAACAATCCACAGACAAACTGACAAAGTATGGATTTGTTAAGGGCACAGTGAGGTGAGTTGAAAAGCTTGAAGGTTGTGATTAGTGCCAAATGGTCCAGCTGGAGGCAAAACATTAGAGCTCCTTAGGGGTTCACACTGCTGCCAGCAGTGATTAACACGTTCACTAACAACCTGTACGAGCCTGTGCACCCTACACAAGTCTGCGGTTGATGGGAAACTGGAAGGAGTGGCTGAAACACCCCATGATTCTGTCACCGTTCAGAGGGATCTGGTCAGGCTGGAGAAATGTGCTGAGAGGAATCTCAAGTTCAGTAGGAGGAACCTACATCCTTCTGTGAGTTGCCAGAATTTCAGCTATATATTTTGACAGAAAAGGGACTCGTACGTATCAAAACACACTCCTGGATATAACTTTTAGGTGTGTCCATTCTACATATAAGTCTGGAATTCTAACCATAAACACCAAGAGGCATAAATGTATTATTTACAAGCACTTAAGTAATACCACAGCTATTTTCTGCTGTGGTTATTTTGTTATTGTCTCTAGCCCTAAGGCAGCTTCCTCAAGATCCTGTAGGACTTTCCAGGTATGAATTTAGAGTTAAATGTGTCACTAGTGAGATAGTTTATGAAGGGGACATTTATTCCCTAAACAGAGAGCTGTCTAGCTGTCAGTTGCAAAGATCATGTAGAGATTGTAAATATACAGCAGTACGAAGAGCAAGGTGTTTTCATATAGAAGCTTGCAGTACAAAGTGTCCAATCAGTATGAAAATTCTTCTAATAAAAAACTTACCTCATCACCCAGGCAATGTCATCTGCACTGTAAAACAGCTGTTAATATTATCTGGGAAGTTTCAGCAGACAAACTTTTATTTTTTCTTTCCGATACATGCTGTGTACGTCACCCCATTAGCCAAGACAATTATGAAATGGTGCAGAAATGGTTGGGAAGATAAATTCTATAATTTTTCAATGTTATTTTTTAGAAAGAAGTGCGCATCAAAAGTATTAATCATTTTTCCTTGTTTTTTGTTACCAAGTTTGTAATTATTTTATTTTTAATTGAAATGTTCTTGCTAGCTTTCACTATTTATCAATAACAGCAGCTGTGTCATTAGAAACCCTCAAGAAATACCTGTTAAAACTTGTGTTCCCAGTGCTGGCACTGCAGCAGAAAACACAATGGTTTTTTAAATGGTTGTTTCTCTCTACTGCCTCTGGTTTGAAATCTAGAAACAGAGGCACATGCTTTATCTTCCCAGAAAATGAATAAACTCTTTGGGGATGGGCTTAATTATTTTTTCAGTGAAGGTCCTGTTGTTCCACACAGCCTCAGGTGTTACCAGCTAGACTGCTAGGGTGTCCCAAATACAAGCATGAAATTTTGAATAAAAGTAAAAGGCCTAGGTCTTTATGCCTGCATCTCTTCCATCCCTTTAGTATAGATATCCTTCAAAGTGAAAAAGGATAAAAAAGTGGCCTGAAGATCACAGAAATTCTTTTAAGTAACTGTAAAATCATATTATTGCTACTTCCCTTCTGTGCTTGTTTTCTCCATCCTCACTATTGTTGCTCAAATTGATGTTCAATAATAGAACACAGAGAAAACTCAGTTTGTTATTTCTGAGATTGCATTTCTTTTAATTGTTACACAAAATGATCACATAAAAGCAGTATAGAGAATGCTGCTTGTCTTTGAACCTTCACTGTATGTGCTTGTTTTACCAGGTCATTTGATAAATTAGAAGCTCTTTCCAGAAAAATTATATAAAAGCAGCTCATGCTTTTGACATAAAAATCAATGTGTAGCCATCAGCAGGAATTAGGATAATTTTGCTGAGGATAAGGGAATTTGAACTTCTTTTTGTAGCTTTAAAGTTACTTTTTCTCATGGTTACTCAATTTAATTGAAATTTTGTGGGAAATTGATTCCATATATTTTGATACAAAAAGAAGAAAGTATTTTTTTCTATAAACCCTTGGAAGCACAAGTAGCCTTTACAAATGGTTATGATACCTGCACCTCACTGCTGATTATTTTGTGAATGCAAGTATAAACAAAAATCCCATTGGTCTCACAATCACTACATTGCTGGATTTTATCTCAGTTTAAAATTACTCTTGGTGATTTTATTATAAGAACCGGATAACAGTGCACAGTGTTAATGTTGCCTTTTTGCTCTGCAGGAACACCTGTGTCCTTTGAGAAAGTGTGAGGTATGGCTTTGCTTTCCAGCACTTAAATAACACCTTAGAAGGCTGAAGTAATTAAATACTTGCAGTCAGCTCAGGAGGTTGAAAACGATGCCCGTACTATCCCCGGACCGGCCCCGCTCTCCGCGCCCGCCCCGCAGCGTCGCGGCCCCGCCCCGCATAACGGGGCGCGTCCAGCTGCCCGGGATTGCCTGCTGCTCCCGGCTCCGGGCTGCGGACCATGGCCCTGCAAGGGGCCGCGGCGGCTGAGGAGCTCGTCTTCTATGTCAATGGGAGGAAGGTAAGTATAACCAGGAGAGAGAGAAGGGCTGCTGTGCCGGGAGAAACCCCGAAGGGCAAAGATTTGGCTCCCTTAGACTTATTCATACGAGTGTAATAGAATCCTCCCACAAACCTCCAGAAGAAGGCTGGATGGTTGCATCCCATTTTGGCTAGCTCTGCTGTGTTTGGGAGAAAAACCGTGTCAAAGTGAAACACACTTTCAGCCGGGTATCAAACTTGGCTGGTAAGCAAACCACTTTTTTCATTTTTAGGTCTGGCTTCTCATCTTTGATGGTGTCAGGTTTTCAGAGGCACAACTGAAAGCAAGACTCCAGTGCCCAGATTTAGACTATTGAGTATAAAGATAATATTGCAAGGCCTGGTTCTTGATCCAAAGCAGCTGTAAGAAACTAGCTGATTCTAAGTGACCAAATAAGAAATACTGTACTCAGTCAAGAATGTAGGTATTTCTGTTGCTCTCTGTTGTCAGTTTCTTACAGCAAGTGAAGGTTAATATAAATAAAACTAGAAAAGAAATTGCTACTGCCGATAGCCTTACAGGCTTCCTCTAATCTTTATTCCAGTTCGTCAGAGTGCCAGGGAGACTTTAAATCTTCATGCTGTCTTTAAAGTTAGTTATTTATGCTGTCTTTAAAGTTCTGCATTCTTATTTCTAGTGTGGCCGAAGGTCAGTTCCCTCAGTATAACGTTTCACTGAGCAGCAGTTATTTTTAATACTTGCCAGGTGCCCTATCACTTCTTTTCTGGAAATGCTTCTGTCTGAAAAGGAGTTTCCAGAAGGAGCCCGAACTCTCCTGCCGTGTTTGGCAATTAGTGCAGTTCTATGAGAGGGAAGCGGAGAAGGATTCTCTTCTGGTTTTGTGTGAATGTAGTCGTGCCCTAAATTTTGAAAAGCCTTGGTCTCTTAATAAAACCTTGTTTTTACTTTCTTGCTGTAGATAATAGAGAAAAATGCTGATCCTGAACAAATGCTCTTGGCTTATCTGCGAAAGAGGCGTATCCTTTTCTTGTCTATTCCCTAAAGTCACTCGTGAAAGCCTTATTCAAGTAAAATTCTAAATTTTAATTCAAGGTTTAATTACCAGATTAAGGAAGTTGTGATTCCTTTAAGATAAATCAACCACACTAAATGATGTCTCTTTCTTAATCCAAATATTCTTCAGTTGAACTGCTGTATTTTTAGCCTGACTTTTAAACACACAAAGTATGCCATCAGGCACAGTGAATACATGTCTTTGTTCCTCCCCTCCCACCACATAAAGAAGTCTAAAAACCTAGTGGTCAGTAGCTTGACAGGAGTCTCCAAGTTTTGTAATAGTCTCTCTCCTGGTAAAGGGGAGATATTGTGATGAGAACTTGAGGCTAATGGAATTTTATGGGGCAAAAAGGCATCTTCCTTCTGGTGTCTTTGGAGCATTAAAATAGCTGTTTATTGATTCACAGTTTTAGACTGGCCACTGTTCCAGATTCACAGAAATGAACACTTCTCTCAGAAGTGTGATCCTTCAGATGAGATGCAAGGCAAATATCCTGACTATAAGTGGGCCTTCTGGGAGAAACTGGGAAACTGGTTTTAGTGTTCCACTGGAATGTCAGATATACAGCTGGTTTGCCCATTACATATTTCTTCCTTTTGAGTTTTGACTTGGAGAAATATTTTTCACTTCCCTTTTCTGTCTCAACTTACTCCTCTTCCAAAATAAATTATAATCAAGTTTTCTGTTTTCTTGGGAAGAGGATTTTGGTCTTGTAATTCCTTAGCTTCCATCTTGCTTTCACTGGAAATTTTATTCCAATATAGAAAGGAGTCTAGTACATATGCTGATACCAAAAAAATCTGTATTCATTAGGGGTTTAGGAAAAAAGGTGGTTTCAAGCCTTTGAGTGGAATAAAGCCCAGAATGGAACCAGATAATTATTTTCCCTAATGAGAGCGTTTTCAGTCTGTCTTACAGGAACTAAGTATGGCTGTGGAGGAGGTGGCTGTGGTGCTTGCACAGTGATGATATCAATTTATGAACCAGCTTCAAAGAAGATACGGTATCCTCAACAGAATATTTTGAAATCTGCAGAAAATCGATTGTTGACACCATTTACAGATATGAAACCTTAAAAACAGAGTTTTAGAACTTGTACTTAATTAAAAAAGCATCTAGAGGAAGGGTCACTTTAATCCAAAAGGAGAATGCTGTAAAAATTGCTGTTGATTCAGCTGTATTGTAAATTTGCTGAACTATCATACTCAAATGCTTGGTTTACTTATGAGTACTGATAGCACCTGCAAGAGGTTGTAGGAGGCATTGATTTAAGACCCTTTGGCTTGACCACTGGAATGTGGCTCCTACCTGCAAGTCTTTTCAGTGGTTTAAATCCAGCTGGTAACTGAGGACCATGTAGCTGCTGACTCATCCCCCCAGTGGGGTGGGGCAGAGAATCAGAATGGTAAAGGAGAAAACTCATGGGTTGAGAAGAGACAGTTTAATAGATAAAGCAAAAGCTGTTTGCGCAACCAAAGCGAATTAGGCAATTTACTCACTACTGCCCATCATCAGGCAGATGTCCAGGCACTGCCGGGACACCATCATCTGTGATGGTTACTTGGGAAGACAAACACAATCACTCCAAAACTTTCATCCTTTTCTTCTTCCCTTGGCTCTATATGCTGCACATGCTGCCATATGACATGGAATATGACTTTGGTCATTTTGGGTCAGCTGTCCCAGCTGTGTCCCCTCCCTGTTTCTTGTGTCCCAAAGTCTCCTCATTGGCAGGGTGGGGTGAGAGGCAGAAAAGACCTTGACTCTGTGTAAGCCCTGCTCTGCAGTAACTAAACATCCCTGTGTTATCAGCACTGTTTCCAGCACAAATCCAAAACAGTTTCACAATGGCTACTGTGAAGAAAGTTAACTCTATCCCATCCAAAACCAGCATACTGTCATACAATTAGTGGGAAGGTTGGGTAGGCAGAAGTGTCTTGTCAGCCCTTTACTACTGAACTCCATCCATTATACAGAAAGATTTTGAAACTCAAACCTGAAGTTTCATTAAGCTAAAAACCGGAATAAATTGCTTTTAAGTTGAGAAAACTCCAGTCAAATAGTTAAATGGTTAGATGTCACTGGGCCCTAAAGTGTTTATTGGTGGGGAAAAAAACATTCCAGTTGTCCTTTTGTACAGTTACATTACATTGGAATGCAACACAAATGAAAATGTTTAAAGTTAATGAAAGAGATAAAATTAAAGCAGACTCCTGAAAAAAATTTCAACTGTATTAAAAAACAAAATAATTTTATTAAAATTATGAAATGCTTTGAAGAATTTTCATTTTAGTGTGTTGTTATACGGTTTGTGGTAATTGGGAGTGGGGCTGCAGCCAAGCCTCAGTCCCAGTGGGCTACAGCTGTGAGAAGCAGGTGAACAGCATTGAAAGCAATGAGCCATGGAGTGCCCAGGTGCACTGGGAACAGAGGGCACACAGGTGCAATGCATGAACATGAGGGGTAGAAAAGGTTGGGCTAAAGAACAAGAAGGGCAGACACTTGCAGCCTTCTGAAGTGATACACTGTTACTCTATGGGCACTTACCTGAGCCTTCTGAAGTGGTGGGGTGTTACTGTGTATGGGTTGAAGCTTTCTGAAATTGTATGATACTTTGTGTATCATGGCCTTCTCAGCTGTGACATACATGATGTGGATCAGAATTTTGATCATAAATTTGCTGCAGTAATTCTTTACTTCCTTCCAATGACTGCACTAATCTTCCCTATCTTCCTCTTCCAAAATACAGTTGACAGGTTCCTTGTGGGCAAGAGAGACAAGAGAGTAATTAGAAAAGACTGAGATATTAAGGAAGATTTAAATTCCATTGAATTGTCCTCATAGATATGCTTTTATATGGGGGACAAGAGGCATAGCTAGAGAGTGATCCCTTCTCATTCCAAATGTTAATAGTGACTTTTTTGAAAGTGTGAACTATGTCTTGACTGACTAAAAAATAATACTCAGACTTGTTTTTTAAAATAATATTCACATTCTTTATTCTCCTTTATGTTCCAAAGACACTATTCAGCCAATGCATGTTTGCTTCCTATTTGCTCCTTGTACGGTGCAGCAGTGACTACAGTGGAAGGTGTTGGAAGTACAAAAAGCAGGATTCATCCAGTTCAGGTGAGAGGGCAGTATCACTGTATAGGAAGATCAGTTGCTTATTTTTTGGATGGAATGGCTTTAGTGACAGAGCTTTTAGAGCATAGGAATTTCATAAAATGGTTGTTTTCCCTGCTAAATGACAACAGGGGACAGCATTTTTTTCTGGTGGTTCATTGATCAAGGCTGATGACATGGCTCATGATTGATCTTACTTTAATATTGACAGTCTGATCAAGTAGTTGGCTTGTAATGATTGTTGGAGTGGGTCAGGCTTTGCTCTCCTCGGGCTAATGACATGTCTTGGACAATGTCCCTTTGGCTCATGTTTTAGTATAAGTGCAAAAAAAACCAGAAGTCTGCTGAAGGTTAATTAGCTTCTTTTGTAAGATGTGCCTGAACATTGCACCCAAAGTAATTATTCTCATTTGATATTGCTTAAAGTGTTTTACTTTAAAAGTCTGATTTATTATGAAGGCAACATTTTATATGGCATCTCCCATTTAAGAGAGCATTCATTAGAATGAAGATGAGTGCTGGAATAAGTGTTGTTTGTGGTATTCCATTTCAGGAAAGACTTGCCAAGTGTCATGGCTCCCAGTGCGGTTTCTGCACACCTGGAATGGTGATGTCCATATACACTTTGTTAAGAAACCACCCAGAACCAACTTCAGAGCAGATGATTGCAGCTCTGGCTGGTAAATATTGCCACTTTTTAGTTTGCAGGTGTGTTGCTGAAACATTTCTTCAGGTGCTTTGTCTATGTGAGTGCCTGTCTGTGTGAGTATACATGTCTGCGTGCATGGAGGATGTTCTCTTAAAAATTCTGCTTCCTAGAAGAGTTGTTACTGGCTGCAGACCTTGTATTCCCTGTCGTTCTTTTCTCCTGGAAAATGAAACATGGAGCTGTGGATTGTTTCAGGTGTCCAAAACATCCCCATATGTGTCTTTTGAAGTGCTTAAAATCAGATGTGCAAAAATGATGTCATACTGGAGAAGCAGCTGCATCTGAGCATCTCCAAGGTCTCTTTATATCTGGTGTTGAGAATGTAATAAGACTTGCAGGACAGGCCCTTTGCAGTAGGACTAAAACAGATAAGGCAGAGAGATGCAGACTATCTTCAGTAAGGGAAAGTGTGAGCATTTATGGTAGGTAAAATAGCCTTCAGTCACCTGTTGTGCTCTAGAGTCACAGTGGAGCCAAAGGTATTTCCTGTTGCTGTGTGGTGAGCTTAGAGGTGTAATGCTAGCTTCCTTCACCTCTAGAAGAAAGTCAGGGGTAAAGAGAACAACATTTTGAGTGGGTAAAAAATACTCTACAATCTCTTATTCTCCTGCATACTGAGCTGTAGCCAGCATTCACTCTAGCGCAGATCTCAACTATTTTGTACTCCCCTTGAAACAACAGCATTTTTTGTCAGGAGCTGCAGGGTCCTAAGTCTTGTGACACTGTTCTAATTTGTCTTTTTGAGAGCTAACACTTCTTCTTGAGGTTGAAAAACACAAGACTCGCATAAAGACACAACATTCTAAAGCCAGGTCTTTAGAGCAAAGCTTTTTCTGACTGATTTCCTTCCTTCAGGGAACTTGTGCCGCTGTACTGGATACAGGCCAATCCTAGATGCCTGTAAAACCTTCTGTAAGGTAAGAAGTAGTGGGGATAGGAGTGCTAGACTGGGGCCATCAGTGTATATGCATATACAAGCCATCAAGGTTTTCACTGAGATCATCATCTTCCCTCTGTTTCAAGATGTCATTCTGAGTAAATGGCCTAACTCATTAGAAAAATTTATAAACACAAGTGAACATGGTGTCTAGCCTGGATTATGAAAACTAATCTGAAGTAACTCCGTGTTGTTTACTGTGGGTTAGTACTGACATGAATAAAAGCAGAATTTCAGTCCATATTCTTAGAATTGATCATGCAATGCAATGTGTCAGAAGCCTCCTGAGGAGAAATGGGAGTGAACATTAGTAAAGGAAACAATACAGATCATTTACATCTGCTCTCACAATGTTAAAGGAATTCTACACAGTGGGAATTATTTTGTATTAAGGATGTCAACATTTGACGACTTAAAATTATTTTTAATATAATTCCTTTAACACTTGATCCTTCTAATTCAACTTATTATTAAACTTAATCTAGAACTTTATTGAAATACAGAGTCACTCTTATGAGCTTTAACTCATTGCCATTCTGGGCAGTATTTCACTAATGGGATTTTCCTATTTTAGGAATCCATCTGTTGTCAAAGGAAAACAAATGGAAAATGTTGCTTGGATCAAGAAGATGATTTGTTTGACAATGAAGAGGAGGTAACATTTTGAATATATTAGTGACCTTATATCAATATAAAACTTAGAGAAAGAATATTGCATATAGTATTTGGTAAATATTTATTTTTCCTCACAAAAAATTTGGAAATATTTTGAAAAATTGAGGATTCTTTGTGTATATTTGTATGAGGAGGCTCTGATGTGTTAGATAGTTTATATAAGGTACTTTGCATCTCCAGAGGTGAGATTTGAACAGTTCTTCAGGTTCAGTAATATTAATAGTCTGATCTCTGCCAATACAGTGAAAATTATATTGTGAAAGACATTAGGGCATATGTGAAATTTGCTTAAATCAATAATCAGTGATGCTCTAAGTACTGGTCTCTTAGGGAAACTGCTGATTTAACTCTGAAGAATTTATACACTCTTAAAAATTAGAGCTATGATTGTGATGTGAAACCTCTTATCCATATAAATATTTCACCTTGTTCTTAATTTTCTTTCAGTAATATCTGATCTACTTCTTTGGGTTTTGAGTACATTAGGTTGGCATGAAACTACTTCATTATAGTAGAACTACAGGAGGCCTGTACTTAGTCCTTCAGTTGCTTGCTTCTGCACTGTCATTTGTGTTAGCAGTAAAATTTAAGAAAATATTATGAACACTTCTTTCATCTCAGCACTTCCAAATGATGCATGGTGATTTAAAAACAAATCCAAATGATAATGAAATTACTAATTTTTTACTGACTTCAGTGGCAGTCTATTGGTTTGGCTTTGCTTTTATTGTTGTTTTATGAAATTAATGATAGAAAATTCTTGGTCTTTACTTGTCTTCTTTTTAAGGTGCCCACCAGCCTGTTTTCAACAGATGAATTCCAGCCCTTAGATCCCACCCAGGAGCTTATATTCCCTCCAGAACTAATGGTACCTTTTCCTACTTATAGCTTATAGAGCATTCTGATGCTCTGTTCAGAATTAATTCTTAAGTTCTGCTTAGCTGTAATTCATCAGAAGAAATGTCAAAACATTTTAATGTTATTATACTCCTTTCTGGTTTTTTGCCCAGTAAGCTTATTGAATATTCATATACCAAAAAAAGTCATATGGGAAAATGAAGCTGCAGAGTTAGGTGGGAAGATAAAGAAGCAACCTAAACTGAGTTTTCAGTCCAGCAGCTGAAGATACAAATACTTCACATCAAACTGAATGGCAAACAGTTTTTAACATGGGAAAACAATTTTGTGGCTTAATAATTTTGTTAGTCTATTCTCAGATGGCCACCCAGATCAGAGAGTTTTACCCCAGTGATTAAGGCATGCCAAAGATATAAACAGCTGGAATGGAAAGTGTTAGGCATCCTTAATTACTGACAGTATTTGCCCAGAAAAACTGAAAGCTGTTTGTTTTACTTTATTATCAGTGTAGAGATTCAAAGCCATATTCTCTGTAGTTAGCTGACTGCTTCTAGAAAAAGGTTGATAACTGCAGGACAAGAGTTCTTGACTGTGTGTTTGTACCAGCACTGGTTCACAAGCTATTTCCAAGTGATCAGTGAACAGTGCTAGAACAGCCAGAGACACTTAAGTCCATGCATAATCTACAATGGGATGCTGCTGTCAGTGCCATTGGTGCTCTCCAAGCAAGCTAAGTGGGCAAATACCTCCCTAAGTATTTTTTATTGCTTTTCTAACAGTTTTAGAAATTGTTGTATCTATCCCGACATCTTTTGCTAGGGGACTGTTTATTATCATTCTTGTTTATTAGCCAATTGGAATTACTTGAAGACATTTCACCCACACAGTCTCAACTTTCACTGTTGAAATGTGCAAACATTAGCCAGCTTAACATTTCTGTCCCCTTTTTGTCCAATTTTAAGGGATTATGTAGAATTGCTGTTGTTTCAGAACATTTTTGACTTTCAGTCTAGTGTCTGTTAAACCCCACTTCTGTCTATATGTCTAAATATTTAAATCTGTCATGTTTCTCCATCAGAGAATGGCAGAAAATCAACCAAAACAAACTCTGTTTTTTCGTGGGGAGCGAGTAACATGGATTTCTCCCGTAAGCTTGGTTGAACTGCTGGATCTGAAAGCTGCCTACCCTAAAGCACCTCTTGTGGTTGGGAACACCAGTGTGGGTATGTGCATGAATGATCAGGGCGGCTCCTCTTGCTTTAGTTCCAGCGTGCATGAGGGGAGTGGGGCTACATTTGTCGTTCTTTTTGCATCTTCATCCTTAAGCTTATATTCCAGTATGTGAGAGTTGTTATTATGGAAAAGCCTTTTGTCTAAGTCTATTCCTATCTTGTAGGACCTGACATGAAATTCAGAGGTGTGTTCCATCCAGTCCTTATTGCTCCTGCAAGGATCCCAGATCTGAATGTGCTGAAATACACAAATGATGGTCAGTACACTTTACTTTTTTCCAAAATAGAAAATTTCTTTGCAATAAAGAATGCTGCACTATTCCAGAGTGCTGAGCAACTCATTCCTAAGCATGCTTGGCTTTTTCCCAGGTCAAGGGGGCTGCTGCCAACAGTACAGAGCAGGACGACTGTGTCTTCATGAGGCAGTGCAGAGCTGACTTCAATATTATCTTGGGCCTTAGTGTGAGGGTGATTATTCCAGTAATATTGGTTCTGGTGCTCAGTCATGCAGGATGTGCTTTGTGACTGCTGTACCTGGCTGTGCTGAATAGCGAGAGACCCATACACAACCACAGGGAGGGTTAGCATGTGGCATGCTTGGTTACATTAGAAAAAAGGATGTGATTAAACTGGCATCGCTGATATGGATTAACTAATGTTGTTCTCAATCATAACAGCATTAATTATAATAGGTTAGAAATTTTGTACCTCAACTTACATGTTTATAATAAGCATGGAGGTTCTTTTAGTTAGACTAGGTTTTGGGTTTTAAATAATTTCTGGTGGATTAGAACTACAACTAGAACAGGTCTCAACTTACTATAATAGTTTAAAGTAATTGAATAAAAATTAAGTAATTGAACAAAAATTGCTTTGTATTAGCTTATAGCCAAAGTTTTAAGGAAAGCCGTATCTGATTAATTACTTGCTATATGCCTGAAGCTACTTTTTTTAAAGGGGTAAACTGTGTTTGACAGTTCTGTCATTTCATTTAGAATATCCATTTTATTTCTGATCAGTCATCCAGTTCTATTCAAAGATTAGTTTGTTCTTAGCTGAAGAGTACCTAGAAATTGAAAAGAAGCTGGGAGAATGCTTACTCCTTCTTTAAAGTCTGTAAATAAAACCTAGGTTTTTGAAGGTGAGACTTACTAGTTCTAAAACAAGAGACATGTAGTTTCGTGTGCCAGCCAGAAATAGCATTTCCTCTCTTTAGTCAGATTTAAATGCAAAATAAGTTTTGATGACATTTTTCTTTTAAATACACAAAATTTAATATTGGTTTGCTTAATTAAAATTAATTTAATTTGTTTATATTTTCATTTATATGTTTAATTGAATCTGAGTATTCATTGAAAAGATTAATTTATTATGTAAATAATTGTTTTTACTAGAAGGGAACTGTGTACCATTTACAAAAAGATTAGAAATATAATCTTACAAAAAAACTTCTCAAGTAAATACACATGAGTTTTCTTTCTAGTGGGAAAAATGACACTGTCTTTAGGGCTATTTGTGTTTTTGCTGCCAATGCTACCTACCCATGCATTAGAAGAATAACTAGAGGGTACATATGCAAAGCAAGTTGAAATTAGGATGAAAGTCATGCTTAAAAATAGGAAGAATCTAGTGAAAGCATTTTGAAGCTGACTCACCTTTATGTGAAATGTCTCCTAAATGTTTACTCAGTCCAAGCAAGGTGCAAGGGAAGCAGTTGAGATGTGCAGCTGGAAGCAGAGAAGGGATTTCCCTTTCAGCAGAAGAGATGAGGTATTAGTTCTATTTCATAATTTCTAGGGATTTTGCTCTCAGTCTCCTGAAATGAAAGGTTCTAGTTCCTTTAAAATGCAAAGGCCCCTCTCCTTTTATCTGCCTTCACTCACATGAGCTGTCCTAACTCTACAGTCTGAACACACTTTAAAACCCAGGCAGTAAAGCAATGGGCATGTTACACTTTCGTAATCTTTTGGTTACAGGATTAACTCTGGGAGCTGCCTGCAGCCTCTCTCTGGTGAAAGACATCTTGACAAATGCAATTGCCGAGTTCCCTGAAGAGAAGACGAGGGTTTTCTGTGCTGTCTTACAGCAACTGAGAACTCTGGGCGGAGAACAGATAAGAAATGTTGCTGTATGTTGGGAATTACTTGCAATTACAATTTGAAATATTGTAACAAATGTGGCCACATTTAGAAATTTATTGTGGCCACATATAGAACTTGCATTTTTAATTTTGATTTTGCCATGCTACCTCTTTTTGTAGCTTTCAATATGTATAAATGTACATATAGTTCATATGTTGTATTCTCACTTAATGTAAAAATATGATGATTACAGAGAAAGGTAACATAAACTGCTTTATTTTTTCAAGTCATTTGGTGGAAACATCATAAGTAGAAAACCAACCTCAGACTTGAATCCTGTTCTGGCAGCCAGCAACTGCATGCTCAATCTGGCTTCAAGAGGTAGGACAAGATAGCCTGTCTCTGTAGCACAAATGAAGTTTTAAGTGTTCAAAGGTATCTGAGATATTTAGGTTCCTTGCAGAATTTCATCACCTTCCCTTTTGAAAAATTTAACTGTCATAATATGTATCATAGAATAACAAATATGGTCACTTTCAGAATAAAATATTAAAAAAAGGGGGGGAAAGCAATAGCATTTATTTCTTTCTGGACTCCTGGAAATGTTCAGAATCTCGGGGGAAAAACAAAGAAAAGAATAAATAAACAACAAAAGCCCTACTCTCCTAACAATTTTTCACTTTGGCAGCAGTTCTTTACTACTCAGTTTACTTCCTCACTTTGTAGTTTTAGAAGGAAAGGTAGTTATGACAGCAGCTGCAGAGATTGACAGGAGTGAGGGTGGGATCATCATAACAGTATTGGAAGGGAGGATTACAAAATGCGAATTGACCTCTGGGTACTTTTTTAGGAATCTGGTATTATGATGTTATGGAAGATGGAGCAACCATTTGAATTTATAGAACATATCACTGATAGCTTTTATGTAAGTTCTGTAGTGGTTATTTAATCAGGAAGGCAGCAGGTATTTCTTACCAATTAAAATACTGTTGATTTTGTGTTAATTGCACACTTTTATAGAATTTTCTGGATTTGAGGTTTTTTGGTTTTTTGGGTTTTTTTTAGGACAAAGGCGACAGATTCTTCTGAGTGATATTTTTGCAGATGGAGTTGGTAACAATACCATTACACCAGAAGAGATCTTAGTCTCTATCCATGTTCCCTATTCTAGGAAGGTAAGTTATTAGTTTGTTTAAATTTGCTTTATGCAGAGTTAAAGACTATGAAAGAAAGAGCAAGAAGGGGCATAATCTGTCTGTTTAAACTAGCACTGTTACTGCTCACTTTTTGAATTCCTTACGTTTATTCATTTCAGTGCCATACTATCTCCCAGTTTCAACCAAAAATCACAACTCAGCAGGTAGTTGGTGATGCTACGTAAAGAGTAATATTCAGAAAATGTTTGCCCTAAAATGATAAAGGCAACAGCAATTGTCTAGATCCCCTTTGGAAAGGGGTCTTGGACAAGTTGCCATTGTGCTCACCAAAGCAGGCTGCTCACCTGTGATATGTCTGGCATAAAATAGGTAAAGCATTGTCATCTCTTGAGGATTTTTCTTTAAAATGGGATTAGATTGGATGCGTGTGTTGTGGTTCCATAAATGTTGCTGAACGGAATAATAGTCTTTAACTGATACTGGGTTTGCAAGAGTGGATATGGGATCTTGGAAGAGAATTATGGGTTATGTCATCTGAATACTGAAGTTTGGCAATACTTTGAAGCCTCTAAACTTATGGTCTTGTTATACAATGTACAGCTCCACAAAATCCCTGTCTTCCAGGTATCTACTGTGAAAAATCTAGGTCATCTGAACTGTGTAAATTGTGGAGGATTGGGTATGACCTGCTAGAAAATCAAAGATGGTAAAGCTACTGAAAGGTCAAGAGAAGAAAGTGCATGGTCTTTCATACTCAGGAAGTTTATTTGTGCTCTTCATTTGCTGTTCTCTTGCTTCACATAGTGCAGTTACAAGTTCTACTTTCAGATACTTACATGTCTGCACTTCTGTGTGATCTTGCTCAGGGGGAGTATGTCTCTGCATTTCGACAAGCACCAAGACGGGAAAATGCTCTTCCAATAACCAATGCTGGGATGAGGGTCCTTTTTGAAGAAGGTACAGACGTTATAAAGGAGCTGAGCATTTTCTATGGAGGTGCTCTCTCAGCAACCGTCTGTGCGAAACAAACCTGTTGCACACTTACTGGAAGGTAAAATTTCTCTGTCTTGTGTGGGTCTCTGAACAAAGGGACTTCGAAAACTTGTATTCATGTTGCTTGGGACATGAAAGTATAGAAAGGTTTCATTTGCCTGACTGATGCTTTGTATGTTCAAGTGAATGATCAAGTCTTAATGATGACTTTTCAGAATTGTTACATTTTGGAGTTTGCACATAAGGTGCAACTCCAGTGTGAATTATGCAGAGAGATAAGAGAGATGACCTGTGAGATAAGTGGGTGATGTATACATGAGTCAGTTATGCCCCTAAACGCAAGGTTGGGTAAATTACTCTGTATCTCATATATTTGATAATCCTCTCATCAGTGTTCCTGAGTCCTTCAGCTTGTCTCTAAAAGATACGAGGTTTGAGAACTTTAGATGTGCCCAATAAAGTTAGAAGTACAAGTCAAGTTTTCACCTTTTCAATAGCTCTTCATCTACAGAGTCCCGATAATCTCTGGAATTAGTCCCTGACTCTCCCTCCCAGTTTGCAGCACCCTTCCAAGTTTTGGAGGAAAAAATTGCAAATTCAAGCAGCATAAAAACAACACTAAATGAAGTCCCAGTGGCCTTTTTTCTATTTGATATGCAACTGTTTGATTAGTTGAAGTGCTCACTATTTTTTGATACTTAACATGATTAAATTTAGTCTAACAGACTTAATATTTCGATATCTGCAGTTGTGTGACTATGGAGAATTAACAGTGTAAGATGCTTGAAGAAGACAACACTTTCAGAAAATGTAACAGCTAATTAGATCCCCTGAAAGTATCTACATTTTGCATCTATATCTTTATATACATTTCTTCAAATATAGGATAGTATCTGCAATATGGTGAGAATCAGTAAGACTGCTAAAGCAGCTTTAAAGCTGTAATAGGGTTTGTTTAATTATGTATTTGTTTATTTTAAAATGCTGGCATAGCACTTAATTTACTTATGGGAGCTCAGATCTGTGAGCAATATTGATCTACACCATTTTAAAAATTGCAGACATTATTAGAATCAATATTTTGGCTTCATTTTGAGCAGGATTATGTCTGTGGTTGATAGTACACATATATGACTGCAATTGTTATTTATTTTTTATTAGTCCTAGTCTGATTGTATCTGTTATTCTTCCTAATAGACACTGGAATGAACAGATGTTGGATGAAGCATGCAGACTAGTTCTTAAAGAAATTACTCTTCCAGGCTCAGCTGGTGATGAAAATGTAGACTATAAGAAAACTTTGATGGTCAGTTTCTTCTACAGATTTTTCCTGGAAGTATCACAGTCATTGAAGACAATGGTAAATTAGTTCATAAAATCATGGAATATACTGAGTTACAGTAGACCCATCAGGACCACAGGAGTCCCACTGCTGGCCCTGAACAGGACACCACAGGAGTCCCACCATGTGCCTGATAGCATTGTCCAAGTGCTTTTGAGCTCAGGCTGGGGGCTGTGACCACTACTCTGGGGAGCCTGTTCCAGTGCTCAAACATTCTCTGCATGAAAAATCTCTTCCTGATGTGCAACGTAAAGCTCTCCCCTCCTGGTTTAATGCCATTCCTCCAGTCCTATCACTGCTCAGCAGAGTCAATACCTGCCCCTCCGCTTTCCCTTGTGAGGATGTTGAAGACCTCAGTGAGGTCTCCCTTGAGTCTCCTTCAGTCTGAGCAAACCAAGTGTTCCCCATGTCTGCTCTTGTGCAAGCAAATAAAAGGGGTGTTCTTGCTATATGTTAGTGCTTGCAATTTGTACAGTATGCTAAATCATTGTCTTTGGTGCTTGGAGCTACACAAAAACCTAAGTGTTTAGCTCCCCAAGAGACTGATGGAGAGATGCCCATTTAACTTTTAGATGCTCAGATATCTTTACCTTGCACATAAGGCTTTAAAAGACATTTGAGCAATACTAATACAACAACCTACCAGTAGCAAGCTCCCAGATCCAAAGACAATATACAAGAGATCTTACTCTGTCTATACTTAAAACCACAAATAGACGTAATAGAAATAAAGGCTTTGGAAAAAAACCTGTAGCTATTAAACCAACCCTCCTTCTAGTACGGGCTGTTGACTGGGAGATGAGGACACTGAAATTTCACTTGCCAAGACATTCTAGGTGTAATTTACTTTTTTTATTTTTGTCTTAAATGTGTTCTCACAGATAAAAATACCCCTTTTATGTTTTTCTTCTGTGTTACCTTGAGCTCTTCCCTCTAAATCACCATTACTAGGTAGTTGTTTAGTACCAGGAGTGATTCTGAGCCATTTTTGATCAGACATCAAAACAAAGCTCTTCTGTCTGTCCCTACTTTGTTGCTTACTTCAAAAAGCATATTTGTTGAATCCAATATATTTTAAAATATTATTTAGTGTCATCTAAAACCTCTACATTGTTTTCAAATTGTTGTTTTAGGGCCTTTCTAGTTTGAGCCTAGAAAGCATTTCCTGTATAAAGATTTTGTGTTTGAATATGGTTGTTGGCTTTTCTAATTGTAATGTTCAAAATGTGAATTTTAGTAGTAATTCACTTCCTTTTCAGAATCCTTGCCATTATCCTGGCATTCCTGTGGAATATGGGAGTGTCCTACAAGATTTCAAAACCAGAATGCCCCAGAGCATCCAAATATATCAAGTAAATGATTTCCTTCTGACATTGTTTTGTGCTTTATAAGACTAGGTAAAAAGTCACAGTTCAAAGAGGGGCTTTGGTTTGAAAGGCAGATTCAGATTTATCAAAGGACTGGAAGCAAAAGGCTTTTAGTGGTTGATTTTAACTGTATCTCATTGCGAGAATCCTTGTTTGTAAAAATAGATTCTGGGGTATACTCACTTCCTGTAGACAGTTCTTTGAAGATAAATATGCTAAGCAAACTCCATTGTCATACTGCTTAAAATTGGTTTATTGCAGTGTGCAAGCCAGTTAGAAAGAAATGGAAAAAAAAAAAAAAAAAGATTGAAAAGCCCAGGTATAGTGTATATATATTATAGCATAGCTATAGTATTGTTGTTTCAAGATCCTCAGGGGGCTCTTAGATCTTACCGTAGATTTAGGAATTAAGATGGTGTGTAATGATTTTGTGCTCAGATTAACACGAGCAGGATGTCCTAAATCAACAGTAGAGAGCAGCAAAGAACACATTTGGTATTTTCTGAGCTCGCTGTATAAATAGTTCATGGTGGAAAAATCTGCAAGGATTTTTGATATTTTGACACCCTCAGTACACAAGTCAAAATACCAACTTTTGAAAACCTGAAGAAAAATTCAAATTAAATATAGATAAATATGTTTCTCTTTTAATTTTTGGGTATTCCCTAGAAAAACACCTTAGCTTTAAATACTTCAAATTTGTTCAAATTGTTATCTTAAGTTTCCTTCAGAGCTATTATTATTCTTATTTTTTAGAAAAGGCAATAGGCACCAAGAGGAGCCTGGGTTAAAGGGACTCTTTCTCTGTGACTTTTCCTCAGTTTATTCCTCATCTGTAATAAAGTGACTGAACATCAGAAATTTAAGCCATTTGTTACTCATATAAATTGGCACTGAGCAACAGAAATTTAGAAAGCCAGAAAATCTGAGTTTTTCCACTTTAAATGTCTATTTAGATTCTGTAAGGTTGTATTTTTTTCTGCACTCCTTCATTTGAACATTATTAAGCTTTTAAAATCAAGATTAAAAAAAAAAAAAAAAGAATGCTTATCCTGAAATCCAAATATGTTGTCATTCTGTGGTGGAAACATTGAGGTGGTTTGGCTGAGGCATCCATTTGAGGAACTTCAGGCAGTCAAGTGAAGAGTGTTTGTTCTTGACTTTGTGCCAAGAGCAGACAGTGTGCCAGAAAGTGCAGGAAGTAGACCTGTGTAGCCTGAATACTTGTGTGCTGAAAGCTTTAGAAGTAAAAACATTTTAAGTCGTAAGCAATTAACTAATTTTAAATGTAGAAAAGGAAAGAGCATGAATACTGACACAAAAATTGGGAAGGTGTTCTGGAAGTTGGCAACGTTAGTTGACGTGGCAGATTTAACTGGAAATACTGCATTAATTTTCAAAAAAAAACCTTAGAAAATAAGATTAATAAGACACTAAATTCATACCCAGGTGCAAGGAAATAATTGGGAAGAAAATATTTAAGTAATATTTTCTTGCTGATTTGCATATCAGTTGCACTCTTTCAGTGAGGAAGACAAATCTTAGTACACCACTTGACACTGGTAACATTCAGAGCAGAATCTTGTGTGAATAATTCAGAAAATTATCAAAGCTTAATTACACTATTCAGTAACAGAGGAAAACATCCTTCTGAAAAAGTGCCAGGTTTGTCACTTTGATATAAATAATTAAGGAAAAAAATCCAGGTAAGCAAACCTGTGCAGTGCTCTCTGAAGGGTCCTTAAGAGAAGAAAAGAGGAGAAAGAAATCTCCAGGAGCAGCAGTCACCTCCTGCAGCCACATCTCTTTCAATATTGAACGAGAAGATGATAGTAGGAGCAGTTGTTCATTCATCTAATTTTCTGATCACTGTAAGAGTAACAGGACTGTTCTTTTTTTAACTGGAGGTGCTGGGTTTGTGTTTCTGACTGTTCAGGATGTAGAGCCGAGCCAGTCTCCCCAGGACCCTGTAGGACGACCCGTTATGCACCAGTCTGCGATAAAGCACGCCACTGGTGAAGCAGTCTACATTGATGACCTTCCTTCTGTGGATGGAGAGCTTTTCCTGGCTGCTGTCACTAGTTCCAGAGCTCATGCAAAGATTGTGTAAGTGTTCAAAATGGACCTGAAGAAAGTGTTATGAATTGCTGCCTGAGATTTTTAGAGAAATTAAGAATTATTTGTGTACAGAACAGCATGCCTGATAACCTGCAGGCAAATCCCTGCTGGAAGCAGTGTTGTTACACTAGTAGAAGGATTTGTTAGGATTTAAGTGTCTCGCCCTATTTTACTGTACTAGTAAGGGTGCACTGCTTCTGGTCCATAGCCCAGACCTAGCCTAGCTGCCTCCACAAAGTGTTCAGCTGCGCAGTGCAAGCAGACTTCAAGATTCAGTTTTACCAACACTGCTTTGAAATATTGACTCTATGATGAAAGAAGAAAATTGTTCAAAATGTAGGAAATAGTGTGGCAACATTGCAGCAACAAGGTAGCAAAGCTCATATGAGGCTTATAGGAGAAAGGGGTGAAGAGAGTTTTATTTTGTATGAAAACTGTTTTAATGTATGCTTTTATGCTGCCGAGATACACCTATCCTAGCAGTTTGTTCAACATTCAGGCACCAAGACATATTCAAGGGATCTAGTCAGGATTAGTTGTCATGACAGGACTGGGGCTTCTAGCTACTGAGTCCTTGTCATATTTCCTGGCTTATTCTTAGATTAGTGCTGGGTTTTGCAGCTGTCTTTTTGGTCCCATCATGAAGGTGATATCACCCCCATCTCTGTGAGTCAATAGAGTCTATTCCGTCTCCTTTGTCTCTTGATCTGGGTATCCAGAGAAGATGCCTGTACATGTGCTGGGATCTGATGACCTGATGAAGTAGATGCTATCAAAACATGCTGTTCTTATAGACTTTCTGCTGTTCCTTCTGATCCTTCTAGACACCTGGACATTTCTATTCCCTCTCCATTTATACATGTTTTGTGACTTCTTTTATATCAGGAATCCTCCATCTGAAGATGTGTAATTGTATCTTGCAATATGTGTATAGGTTGTGAAGTCTTAGAAAGTTGCAGTTGTAACATCATAATTGTACAGTGATTTTTATTAAACCAATGCAGTTCAGGCAATCTAATGGGACAATGATTTCCATGTTGTATCTAAATTATCTCTTAAAATGAAGCAGATTAGTAGTATCTTAAATTGTCTTTTATCTGCACTTTTCCACATGCCAGTGATGGAAAGAAAAGGCATGTGTGAGCCTATCAGCAAATCTTGGTAGCACAAGAAATATACCTCTCTATTGTGTTCCTTTCCTCTGTGAACAGTTTGTATTATTAATGAAGTACACTTCTCTCTTCCCATATCCCAATAGATCTATAGATACCTCAGAGGCCCTAAAAGTAGCAGGTGTGTTTGATGTCATAACAGCTCATGATGTGCCAGCTGCTAATGAGTTTCATTTTTCTGATGATCCGGAGATTATATTTGCAAGAAATGAGGTATAAATACAATCTTTTTGCAACTGGTTTTCTTAATATTAATTGTTTTTTTCTCCAGCGTTTTATGCTCCCACTATCCATTTCTGAATACTGTATTTTTCTTGATTCTGTAGTTATAGTGGTATTTTTATAATTTGTTTGCTTCATGGATGATGTTAAAATACAAAAGTCCTAACTCAAAGAAAACTTCTGAACAGGAAACATAATTGGTGGTTATGTAAAATAAGAATATCAGTAGCACATATGTGCATTGTTTGAACCCACTGTTCCATTGTATGGTGTCTATTCTCCAGGTGATTTGCGTGGGTCAGATTGTCTGTGCTGTGGTCGCAGATTCAGATGTTCATGCCAAACAAGCAGCTGCAAAAGTGAAGATAGAGTATGAAGTGCTGGAACCAGTAATTTTAACAATTGAGGTACTAATAATTTCTTCTGCTTTTTTTATTGTTTTACCTATTTAATGAATGGAAGCAGCAGTTCACACTCTTTAGTTGCTTTTAAAATATAATTTTTAAGGAAACGAGATTAACTTGAACATCCAATTAAGCAGTCTGAGAATCTCCCTATAAATAAATTTTTAACATTTGTCTAATTTTGACCACTTCTGATAGACAGACAACAGTTTCAGAAGTATGAAGGTTTCACAAGTTTTACAGTAATAAACATTAAAATGAAAAAAAAAAAAACCCAACTCTTCTAATGCTCCCGGCGAGGAAAAGGCAATAAGCATGCTGGTTTCTAATTTTCTGGAAGCTGCCACCTTGTCGGTCAGCACAGTGTATAGTGGCTAACAGTCAGCTCCTGATTATCTCCAGCACTTTTATCTGTCATCTAGCTTGAAAGCTAGGTTGTAGACATAGGAGTTGTTGGGGGAATATGGAAGAAAGGTTTTAGGGGTGAACAACATTTTAAAAGTGTAATGCGAGAGTCACATATAGACTTACCCTGGATTAAAGAGACTAGAAGTAAGGAACAAAGGACACACTTGCAGGGAATCAGCATTAGTCCTGGTAGTCACTTTACAGTTGTTTTAATGTGTGTGTGGTCTAATGGAACAATCTTTCTGATAGAAAAATAGGTAAAAGCTGACAAATTTTGTTAACATTTCTTTAGGATTGAAATTCCAATGAAATCTCATAAGAAATAAAGCAAATACTAATTTATGAATAGATTCCACCTTTACTTAGTCCGTGTGATTTCTTCCCCTCTTACTGGCATCACTCTTTGGGTGATGTGGTTTCGTTCTTACTCTCTGGTCTCTTGCTCATTTCCTGGATGTATGGCTGGGGAGAGCAGGTTGAATAAATTGAATGCATTTCCTTCAGAAGCTGTTGTCATCAGTTACACAAGATACATCAGGAAAGAATTGCTGGTATTGAATAAACAAACTCAACAATGACAGTAAAGTGATGAAAAACAGCTGTTCATTGATTTAGGTAGCTGGTGGTTCCAGTCTGTAAAGACAATGGTGTTGGTCCTGAGACTAAAATGGTGCAACAAGCTGGGAATCATAAAAATACTTAAAACCCCCTATTTCTTTTTTTCTCTATTGCAGGAAGCTATAAAACACAACTCATTCTTTGAGCCAAAAAGAAAATTAGAACAAGGAAATGTTGATGAGGCATTTGAAACTGTTGATAATATAGTTGAAGGTAAACTGTAGAATGCATTTAATAAGAAATCTTTGGTTGTCAGTATTTGGGTTTGGCTGTCTGCTCTTCAAGTCCCAGTTCTACCTTTTTTCCATATAATCATTAGGCCTGAGAAAACTCTTAGGCGGTTGGAAGACAACGTGACTAAACCTAGGGTATTATTGTTCTGCTACTACATTCAAGTTTTTTGCGTCATCTGTTCTTGAAAAAAGTTACAGAATAATTAGGTTGGGAGGGAGTCTTATTCCAACCTCCTACTTAAAGTAGGTCTGGTTAGAGCAGGTTGTTACAGGCTATGTCCAGTCATGTTTTTAATATCTTCAAATATGGAGTTTATGCAACATCTATTGGCACCTTGTCATGGTTTGACATGTCAAACCACGACACACCTGTTCCAGTGTTTCACTGCTTTCATACTGATTTTGATTTTTCTTATGTCTAGCTGGAATTTATAGTGTTCGTTGCCTCTTATCTTTCCATTGAGCATCTCTGAGAAGAGTCTGGCTTGCTCTTGTCTATACCCTTCTATAGATAGTTATAGACAGCAATAAAATCTCTTCTTAAACATTTTCTTCTTATGGATTAATAAATCAAATTCTCTCAACCTCTTCTCACAGATCCTGTGGTTCAGTCCCCTGATGATCTTGGTGGCCCTCTTGACCTGGTCCAGTATGTGTATGCTTTGTTTAACTTACCAAGGCTTTATTTATTGTTGTTACCACTTGTGTACAATAGTGTTCTGCTTTAATCCAATTCTGCTGATGCTACTGGAACAAGACCAATTTAATCTTACAAGGATTTTGTGTTTTTATTTTAGATGTTGCTCTTTCACACAAGAAGTATCAGAGGATTTGACACTGATTGCCATCATTTACATGATGGTGGGCTGTTAATTCTTCTCTGGTTGATTTCTTCTGTCCTTTTCCCTCAGTAATACTTGTGGTTTTTCTCATTGGGTCAGGGGAGATTTGCATTGGCGGACAGAAACACTTTTACATGGAGACTCAGAGTATGCTTGCTGTTCCAAAAGGAGAGGATAAAGAAATGGATTTGTATGTGTCAACACAACATCCAGCAATTATTCAGGTAATACAGAGCATTCTCAGAGAAAGTGTTTGGACTGGTGATAATAGGGTTTTTAAAGTTTCATTTAGAAATCTGTAGGAACAGAAGCCATAGAAACATGAAATTGCCCATCTGAATAACAGCTGTTTTGTAATATTGTTGTATTCTGATAATCACTGAGCACTACACTGTCAGGATAAGTCTCTCCTTTCCCTTTTAAAAAAATACTTAATACTCCACTATTGTAGGCATGAAAAGCTCTCTGTAGAGTGCTGAGGCTCTGTTAGTTTTCCATTGAAGTGAGGAGAAATCAGTTCTCTACAGAGTCAGAACCTACTGAGGATCTGATCAAGTCTAACAGCTGTAGGTGAGACTGCTACTCTACGCAGCAGTCTTCTAATCACAGATTGCTCTGGATTTCAAGGAGCCTTTAAAGACTATTTAATTCAACATTCCTGGCATAGACAGGGTTGTCTTCCTCTGCATAGAATTTCTCAAAGTCCCATCCAACATGCCCCTAAACACTCCCAGTGATGAGGTGTCCACAAGTTCTCTGAGCAACCTGTTCCCGTGCCTTACCACCTTCATTGCAAAAAATGTCTTTCTCTTGTCTAGTCTAAACCTGCCCTCTTTTAGTTTAAAACCACAGCCCTTTGTCCTGTCAATACAAGCTTTGCTAAAAAGTTGTGCTCTGTTTCTTGTGAACCCCCTTTATAGTTTGAAAGGCCACAGTAAAGTCTCCCTGTAGCTGTGTTCTCTTGGCTGAAAAACTCCAAATTTCTCAGTCTTCATAGTTAGAGGTGTTCTAGCCCTCTAAACCACTGCCATGATGGTAAATGACAAAACAAAGCTGCCATAGCTTGTGGTCTGCCTAGCAATATTCATAGTGCATGAAACTGATGGTATTTCAGACTCAACATTGGCATTTTGTGTTCAAAGCCCAGTTCAGCTCCTTTTATAATTTCCATTATTATTATATTGCCAATAGCCAAATAGTATGAAGAACTTTGTGTTTGAGAAAATTATTTCAACCAAAAACATTCCTGACATTAGAAAGACCTTAGATTATTAAGAAACAAAAAGTTTTCTTTTAAATAAGAATGAGGTATTGCCTCACTAATAAAAATTGTATCAACTGTATACTAATCCATTTTTATTATACCTGAAGCTTCCTACTGTTTAGATAATGTAATTCTAGAGTATTATTCTTCATATTGGCCAATGGCCTTTTCACAGTCTGCATGGTAAAGATCTGAAATGTGAGCACTGGTAAGAGTTTGTTGTTACTTTTTCTTTGCTTTATAACCTAGGGTAAAGGAAAAGTTATATTCATCCGATAGAAGAATAGTAACATCTGAGGAACCCTTTTCTAGAAAAGGTTTCTGTTTCAGAATCTAGCTTTTGGACTTAGTTTGAGTTGGCATAAAATATTAAAACTTGTTTTACAGGAGATGGTAGCTGCGAGTTTAGGTGTTCCAGCCAACAGGATCATGTGCCACGTTAAACGAGTTGGTGGAGCTTTTGGTGGGAAAATCCTGAGAACTGGCTTACTGGCATCAGTTGCTGCAGTGGCAGCAAACAAGTAAGTGCAATATGTGTGTTGGGATATGAAAAAAATTAAGCAAACAAGTTTTCCATTTTGGCTAAAATGCTTTCTCCTTTTCCAAAGCTGCTTGTCAAAATTTCATACAATCCTGACTTCACATTTTGCAAGACTGTTTGGTGCATTTCTTTGTTTTGTTTTCTTGGATTACTTATGTTGAGCAGCTCTATCCTCAACTAAATTAATGGGCTGCAAGAAGTCAATATTAATATAAGATAGAAATACTCAAAAGGACCAGTCCCTAGCTACTGAGACTTTATACATACATTAAATATGACATTAACCCTCCAGTTGTTAACTTCATTGGCACAGCAGAATGCTGAAGGAAGGAATGCAGAAGGAAGAGTTCATGAGTGGAACTGCTTTTAAGAAAAAGTAGTTCTAGCTCAGTCCTCAACATCTTTCAGTCAAAATTAGCTTTAACCTATGAGGTGTTATGCTTTGTCTAATACTGCATGAATTAGTTTAACATCATCAACACATAAAGCTCCATCCCCCGTCTTCCAAATTTGGCATGGCAATATTGGCAGTTAGCTGTCAGGGCATACTAAATTTCTTTATAAGCATAACTGATTTGCTGCAGAATTTACATCAGGCTACATTCTGTCACCCAAAATTATCTTGTCATCGGAGGGGTTAGCTCAATAGGTATGTTACTTCTACTGTCATTGGTATAAAATTGGCTCTTGATTATTTTTGGCCACATTATCTGTGTTTTTTATTAAGAGATCATGCTAAAAAATAATATTTCTTTTATGGTTTAAAATAACTTTTTTATTCTTTGGTCCTTATTTTACACCTTATGTCCATTTTTATAAAATAATTATTTTAAATGGTATATGCATTTCTAGAATAATTTTAGTATTTTTACTGTTATTCATATTTTGGTTTCATTCCAAGACACTCTATTTCAGTATGATTCTGAATAGCTAAGAGGTGACGAGCACTTAACACGGAAATAGTTTCTTCGGGAGCTGTTTGCACTGAGTTATCTTGTCGGCTTTCAAGAGATGAAATGAAAATTCTGACATGATTGTAAATGTGAGAAATATGAAATCTGGACATAGTGTTAAGCATATGTTCAGGCTTATCAAAGTTAAGTTTAATCTAAATGCTTGTTTATATGCATGGCTGGATCTGGATACATGATGAGTAGCAATAGCCATCTTAATAATAACATCCTTTATTTTGATTGCAGTTTGACTTTTCTTTTTTGGATTTAGAACCAGCAGAGCAGTCCGTCTTATTCTGAGCCGAGAGGATGATATGGTAATCCTTGGTGGCCGACATCCTTTTATGGCTAAATATAAAGTGAGTGCCACAAGAATCCAGTGAAAAAATACCCACCTGTATACTGCGAATAATATTTCAATGTTACTGGTAATGTGTTCTGTTAATGAAAACTGGTAAAACCAATTCAATTTTAAAACAAAACAAGCCAGGAACCCAAGAGATAGTTACTGTACAGCCTCTTTGCTTCTGCCTCTTCTCTTCAGGGTTTTGTTTTATTATTTTTCCAGTTCCCTCATGCTCTTTATTCTTTTATAGCCTCTTTCTATCTTTCTTTCTAGGAACAGGAAGCTAACCTATAGCAGACTTCTTCTGCAGTACTTTATTTTAAACTCTCCATATGGTTAGATTCACACAAAGAAGCAGCTAATTTTTCACAGAAACAGTGTCATGCAGAAAGCTCACCCTATTGAGGAATTTAATCTCTTCCCTGCCTATGCACTGTCATCAGTTATAATTATGCATTGGGATAATTTCTGCCTTCTTTTCCTTCTCTACTTGTCATATAAATTATGTGTGCCAGCCACCATAATGGGATTTAAATTCAAAGTTCTGCTGAATCAAGTAAGCTGAATGATTTTTCTTTAAACATTTTAACCTTTTGTTAATAGCTGTACAGCTCAAGCTGGATGCCTTCAAAGAGGGACTCTGAACAATGGGATTATACCTGGGCAATTATATCCTTACAATCTAAGCTCCCCATCCCTCACATGACAGTAAAAACCAGTAGTCATAGTAAGGGTCTGGAGCCTTCACATTCTTCATGGGTTTCTTTCACTGTATATAGCTGGGCCATTTCTTTTCGTATAGCTAAGTGTGTAGCCTTTGCTTGAGATTGTAGCTTCCTTCTCTTTTGGTTTGAACTGACTCTGAGGCCTTCTTTTACTTGACTGGGTAATAGTTTAATGTACTTAGGGGAAAGTTCACAGCTTGCAGCCTAAGGCTGCTGCAAATTTAGCTGCTAATACTAAGCAAGTTGCATGACATTCTATATAGGTAAAGTAAGATAGGTTTTATAAGATTCTTCCCTAGAGTTGAAAATAAGCTGTAGCTCATGTTGATAATTCAGGAACTGTTAGTGGCAACAGGTGAAAAGAAGGATATGAGATAAAGATAACATTTCTTCATTAATAAACATAAATGTCATATTCCATCTGCCAGACACTGTTCTTACCATTAAAGTGGAATTTGATTTTTTCTACAGTAAACACTCCTAGGTGACACTCTTGTCAGCCATCTCAGGCAATAGAGAGGAAGCTACTACATCTTCCTTTCCAAATGGGCTTATGCTGTGTATTCTGTGCTGCACCTATACAGATCACAGATGCCAGGGGGGAAAGCCTATATATTAGAAACACACTTTCTTTCTCTCTCTGCCCTTCTATAGTTTCAGTGAATGCTGCCAGAAATTAATAGTGCAGTATGACTCTAAATGTGTGGGTTAATTTTCAAAATATACAAGCACTTCGGAAAAAAGTGGGTGCTGAATTCTAAATCATATACTGTTGATCCTTGTAGGTTGGCTTCATGAATGATGGTAGGATCACAGCTGTGGATGCCAAATATTATGTTAATGGAGGATGTACCCCTGACGAATCTGTTCTGGTAAGAATTTTATACTCATGAACCTTACAACATGGAGGAAACATTAGCTGGAAAATTATGAAGCCAAATTCCCTTGCCCACGTATTACTAGTCATATAGACTTTTGATATAGGGATTGTGGGTTCTTGGAAGAATCTACACTGAGCAGATTGACCTTTCCTTATTAAATTTAGTGAAGCGTCTTACTGCTTTCTTATATTGCCCTACACATTCACTTTGTTAATGTTTTCTCAGGCTTATTTTTCTGTTATGAACTTCTCAACTAACGTTGTAGTCCTTTTAAAATGTGTAGTACCTGCCCAAAGCGTTATATCTTCAGGGCTGGGAAAATCTTTCTTGGCCTTCAGAAAATTCATAGTGATAGTTATTCTGTTGCTATCCCTATACATTTCTGTACTGGGTCAGCATTTATTGTGCTGTATACCTCAGTTCCTCACTTACAGATCTGCAAAGTATAAAATGTTTCTTGCTTTGATATCATTACTAGATATTTGTGTTTGTTCAGGCTATTCTAGCTGTGACTGAAATGTTTGCTGTACTACCTCTCATCTGCTTGTCATTGTCCCACCTATGAGGATTTTCTACATCCTGAAATCTGCCAGTGTAACTGCCTGTGCTATTGCTGCCTAACCTGGTTCTAAAAAATAGCCTAGGTTAGAAGGAAATCCATTATTAGAAGCATGTACATTAATGCAGATCATGTCAGAACTGTCTTAAGATGAAGTCCTACAATGATACAGTGAAGCTACTGGACCTAGCGGGAATAACCAAGGCTTAAATTTGTCATTCTGAGAAATCTACTTAACACTGAAGAAAGACAGTGATCTCTTCATCAGGCATCAAACCATTTTTTTAAAATACTGACTCCTAGAGCCTAATTTGAGGTCTCTAGTACAGGATTTTCTTCCTTGTGTGATTTTGTGTTCATCATGTAAAACCTCTAAATGAAAAACTTAAGGACCAGAAGACACTATAGACTGCAGTACACATGCTTTCTGGTGGAACTAAACCTTAAGTGTGGATTTCCATAGGATGTGATAGTTCAGAATGCTTTCATCAGTTCCTTTCATAGCTACTCTTGCTTTAAATCTAATCTGCCTATTTTTAGTATATGTAGCTTTTGGTATTGCAGTAGGAGCAAATTCAATCATAAAATGACATCTGTTACATCCTTATCTACTGATAACATTCAAGTACAAGTAACATCATCTGTGTTCTGTATAAAAAAAAAACCCAAAAATTAATATATTGCATGAAAAATGTATTAATGAATCTCTATGCATGCATGAGTGCTCTTAAGCCAATGATTGCCAGAAACTCAACTTTAAAGCTAATTGTCTCAAGTTAAGCTCTTTTATATAGGAGATGAGGAAGATTTAAATGTAAATTTGAAAGAAGCACTGTTCTGACATTAAACTAGATCTGTTTGTCCCCTACCTCAGGTAGCAGAAATATCCTTATTAAAAATGGACAATGCATACAAGATTCCCAACCTGAGATGCTGGGCTTATGTCTGCAAAACAAATTTGCCGTCAAATACAGCATTCCGAGGCTTTGGCTTTCCTCAGTCAGGACTGGTGACAGAAACTTGGATAACAGACATTGCAGATAAAACTGGTTTATCACCAGAAAAGGTGACTAAATGAAGGCATCTTCTCCCCTGAAATTAAATCTGTGGAACTGGAAAGTTTAAAACCTTTAGATTAGTTTAATTATTTGAACAAGTCTTTTCTAAGTCAAACATAATTTGTGCTGAAATTCATACTTTTTTAAAATCGGTCTGGTTGTTGAATGAATGGTATGCTCTTACAAACTGGTAATTGTTCAAAAACACATACTGTGATCTTCTTGTTGTCTATTAGTCCCCCCAGATGGTCAATTTGCCTTTAACAGGATTGTGAGATAGCTGTAATTTCATTTTTTTCAGATTAGGGAAACAAATATGTATAAGAAGAATGAACAGACACACTTCAAACAAAAACTTGATCCACAGAATTTGATACGGTGTTGGAACGAATGTATGGAGAAATCTGCATACTACAGTAGGAGAACAGCTATCAATGAATTTAACAAACAAAATTACTGGAAGAAAAGAGGGATTGCCATTGTACCAATGAAATTTCCATTTGGACTAAGCACACCTTACCTTTCTCAGGTGAGTTTCATTAAGAGTAAGTGAGATAAGCATTTTATCCATAGAAGATTGCAGTCACTTTATCCTAGGAGACAAAACAAATATGTTATCTTTTCCTGGAAAATTATTATCATCCTTATGATTGTTCCCTGAAGAGGCTGTAGTAGCCTGTCGCTCTTTCCAAGATGAGATCAAAGCTGTTTGGTTTTTGGGACCCAGGCGGTTTAGACCCTATCTACTTAAGGCTAGTCCCATCTGTTGAGGTGCAGTGTTGGAATAAGTGAGTTGAACACACTTAGGAAAAGTTTTTGAAGACTGATAGCAAAATGTTCATTGAATAAGTTGTCCACTCCAGAAATAGTTCTGAGCTTCCTCTTTCTGACCATGGGGGTACTATGGGATACTGCTCTTAAAGACTTAAATCTTCTGATGCCATCAAAGGCTAAGGTTAAGGAAGCAAAAAAGGAGAGTAGTATTTTTGGTCCTTGTATTTTTTTAATGTTAGGTGTCCAGTGCTTCTGAAACAGACAACATTCTAGCAATTAAAAATTAATTGACTGACTTATGTCGTATCAAACTGGCTGTCTCTGTTCAACATTAAAGTCTCAGGGCCTTTCTAGTCTACAGTGCTACTTCTAGCTGAGTCCAGGAAGAAAATCTCATTTGGAAATTCAATCTATGCCATTTAAAAACTGCCAGGGCTCTCACATGCCCATGAGAGAGAAAATGGAACTTGCAACAAATTGCACTTAGAGCCCCTAGTGAGGCATTTCCTCCAGCTTCTTTTGGAGCCACTGAGATACTATTGCCAGGTGTAGGTTTGTTTCAGGATCTAATAACATAAAAGACCACAATACAAGGATTTGTATATTTTTCCTTCAAAGTTCATTATAGAGGAAGAGCAGCAAGTAGACTTTCAAATTTTGCCTTCTATTCAAAAGCACTAAACAGATAAACTGAAATACACTTAAACACTTTGTATGTTTTGTTATTCAATTCATTACCACATACAACACATTTCCTCACTAGTCTGATCTTGATTTTGTTTTTCTTTTTTAGGGTGCTGCACTGGTTCATATTTATACTGATGGGTCTGTGCTTCTGACACATGGTGGAATTGAAATGGGGCAGGGTATTCATACAAAAATGATCCAGGTAACAAATTGTCTGTGTGCTTTATCTATCATGCAAATAAACAGTGTGAAGGTTTTCTTTTTGGTTAGTTACTGTACCAGCAGAACAGTTTCTTTATCAGCATAGCCACTACTTCTTTACATTGATAGAGTTAGAAAGCAAGGGTACCTTCATTCATGCATAGAGGCAGAAGGAAGGAAAAAAACAGACTGGTTTTTGTTCTTCCAATAGCATGAGAAGAGGCTTATTAGAAATAAGATTTTGGATGCTGATCCTATAAAACCCATAGTGAAAAAGGCAGAGATTATTCAGATTGGTATGGCCATGATGATAACATGATCCTATTTGGTTAATGGATAATTCTGAGACAGATCTGCAAAGGTATTTATAGAGTCAATGAAAGTTTGGGACTTGGGCTTGCATAATTTTCTGTAAGTCTTATAGGAGGAAAATAAGGAATGGGTGTTGGAGTTCAGAGTCTCAATCCAGAGTTTGAGTACAGCTAGAACATTGTCCTTTTCTATTTCTTAGTACTACCAAATTAGACAGAATGATTTCAGCTGGAGATTGGAAGAGAACTTGCTAAAATTTTTATCTTTCCTGCTGTTACTGACTTCTAGCAAATAATGGGGAATTGTTAGAGTGTTTAGATTTTTTTCTAAAACAGAGAATATGTTATTCCTGGAACAGATTGCTAGTCGGGAATTGAACATCCCCATGTCATGTATCCACTTCTGTGAAACGAGCACAACAACTGTTCCCAATGCATGTGCCTCGGTGGGATCTGCAGGGACAGATGTCAATGGCATGGCTGTGAAGGTAAAGAATAGTATTTAGTTGAAAAAAATACCCTATTCCTTGAGGTGTACACTTGCCAGACTTTAGGCCCTAGTGATCCCATGTATATCAAGTTTGAGATTACCAATAATACTGCTGGAGATGGCCAAGAAGAAACATGACTTGACAGTTTCTCAGTAATGGTGTTTATGAGTTTTTAGAATATGATCTGGACTTTCCCAAAAAGGCTTATACTTGACAAAAATCTCTGTTTCATCTAACAAACTAACTAGTCCCATACAAATCTTGCACCCTGTTCATATTTGATATCTACTGATTCATACAGTAGATGAATTAGCCCTTGTAACTTAACCATTTAGAAGTTTTATGTCTATGTAATTAATATGACACTTTGTGCAATACCTTTTCAAACTAAGATGACAGTAAAGCATATACTAATTAAATAGTAACTAGAACATAAGTTGAATAGTACCAAATGTATCTGTGTTAATTTTGTGGTATATATCCTGATTCTCACCAGGATGCTTGCCAAACTCTTCTGAAACGCCTGCAGCCCATCATTGAGAAGAACCCAACAGGGACCTGGAATGATTGGGTAAGACCTGTGAATCCTACTGAATGTGTTTGAGTGCTGGCAGAAACTGTGATAAATGTACTGTAGTCTATAAATCTGCTCAGCTTAATAATCCTAAAGTTAAAAATTGTAGAAACAGGCTATCTCACAGAGAGGTGAAACTCAAGGTTCTGGGCCAGGCACAAATGATAATGTGGAAGATAATAATTAGATTTATTGCTAGTACAGTATTTAAATATTGCCAGTGCAATATCCAAGTAATAAATCTGTAATCTGTTACAATGGATTATAGTAAAATCAGGTTATGGTCCCTCCTGTTGAGTCATGAGCATCAGTGAGATCCCCTGGCTTTCTAAACTTTTCAGAGGAGTCTAGGTACAGCTAAATCTGCTTAGTGTCAGATTTGGTCCACAGCCTGTACCTAAAGGGTTACAGTATGTTGTGGTGTAACCTCAGCCAGCCACCAAGCACCACACAACTGCTCACTCATTCCCCCACCTCTGGAATCAGGGGTTCACAAGAGTGAAAGCTAGGAAACTGGTGAGTTGAATTAAAAACAGTTTAATGGGTAAAACAAAAGCCATGCATACAACCAAAGCAAAGCAAGTCATTCTTTCACTATTTCCCATGGACAGGCAGGTGCTCAGCCATCTCTGGGAGAGCTGGGTGTCATCACACATCATGGTTACTTGGGAAGACAAACACCAGCACTTCAAATGTCTGCCTGTTCCTCCTTCTTCCCCTCACTTTATATACTGAGCATGGTGCCATATGGTCTGGAGTATCCCTTTGGTCAGTTATCCCAGCCTCCCACGCACCTCCAGCCTCCTCGCTAGTGGGGCAATCCAAAAAGCAGAAAAGGCCTTGGCTCTGTGTAAGCCCTGTTTAGGAATAACATTAAAACACTAATCCAAAACACCTAATCTCCTCTAGTAGATATATAATTAACTTGGATCATTCAGACACAACAGAAGTATTATCAGAAATGGCTGACCAAAGAAGGAATGTTAATATATGCAGAGAAGTAACTTTGTATCTTGGAAAGTCAGTACAACCCGATCAAAAGCATCACAAAAATTTCTTGAATTGTAAGCCGAGTAAATCTAACATGAGAATCAATCAAAGGGGAATAGAGTTGGGTCCTCATACTGTCACTTTAATAACTGGCAGAACTTTACAAAGAGCATTTCTCTTGAAAACTGTCATTTTTGTGCAAATAGGTCATGCAGATCTTTTATGTCAGTGTGGTGGTTTGACCTTGGCTGGACTCCATGTGCCCAACAAACTGCTCTATCTAAGTGTTCCACTCCCCTTCTCAGTGAGATAGGGGAAGAAAATAAGATGGAAAAAAGCCAACAAGTCAGTGGGTTAAGATAAAGGCAGTTTATCAAAGAAAAAGCAAAAGGTTGCACATGCACACAGTCACATGTCCCACTATAATCAGTGACTTATCAACCAGATCTGGTTAGCTGACAGAGAGACCCATCTATTTTGAACTTGATCAGAAAAACTGAGCAGGGCCCTTTCTGACTATGGCATTACCAGTAATAAAGATCCTGCAAGAACGCTGCTGTTGATAGGTTTATTCCTTCTTGTATTGCCAAAAGAATTCAGATTGTTCATGCAAGAGGAGTTTAGTTCTGTAGCAGCTGTGCATCTAAATATGCTTAACTAAATATGCAAACTTAGTTTGTCTTCCTTTCTTTACAATTTTTACAGTTTGGGTTTTAAGTAAATATGTGTGGGTAAGTATATATATGTAAATAAAGTAAATATGCTTATGCTGTGTTCCTTCCTGATTCCTTCCTTGGTTTACCATAAGCACTGCTATATTTTACAGATTAGAGAAGCTTTTAAACAGAGTGTGAGCCTTTCAGCTACTGGCTATTTTAGGTAATATATTTTTGTTCCTTAAAAATGCATAAATTACACCAGGACTGATTTCTGAAGATAATTAATTCTGTAAAGAGAATATTCTGTCTAATCAGTCTTTCTAATAGCTCATTTTATGTTTTATATGATTAGTTTATATATGAAAGGTTGGAAGCATAAAGTTTAGGTATTGTTTAGTCCTCTGTGGACTCTCTAGAAAGTATTAAAAGAATATTTTATGCCATCTTTGCTCCATGGTTTGACATTTAGCAAACCAGAGAGCATCAAGAAACTGACTGCTGCCTGTAAGCAAAGTGGGATATAGTTTATTTTCTGCAGCTGGATTACTATAAGGTATAAATATCACTGTTCCCACTGCTCACAGAGCAGTCTCTTGGTCCTTTTTCTTTGAATTCTTTCACAGTGTTTTAAAAAGAGCCAGAAATGAAAAAATGTTGTGCTATAACTCAGGTGGGATTCAAAGCAAAGCTTTTCTCTTGACCTGCTGTGCCTTTTCTCTTCTTCTGCTGGTGGTTTTTCCTTATCAATAGCAACTTTTCAGGTCTCTGGGCAGTCTGGAGTAAGTTGAAAGGGCACTTGGGACAACCATACTTTTTATAAAACACTGAGAAATGTCCAAATGAAATGTTCTTTCCTGCTGTTAAGCCTGTTCAAGTATGTTTTCTGCTTATGCAGCCCTTTAGGAATGCTGATATCACCCAAGTAATGCACCACAGTCATACTTTGCTATACATATTTAATAACATTTGCAGATCCCTAAGCCTCAGATCCTGCATTGATCTAGTTCTTTTCCAGTTATATCCTCTATTTCCAAGAATCTCTAAGGTATCTGAGGTAAATGGATTATGAGAAGTTGAGGTATATGGGGTAGATGGATTTTGTGTGTCCCTTTTTTGGTGCATGGTTCTGTACTATACAATTGCTTTATGATAATCTTAAATATGCCCAACAGAGACATTTCAGTCATTCATAGTCAGAAAAGAAACCTTAGTCACAAAGCTCCCATGTTTGGAAGATACCACATTTCACTGTTCTCTCATGTTCTTGGATTTACCCCATCATTCCTGACTACTATGATGTCCTCAGTGAATCCCACTCCCTTCTGAGTAATTACACCTTTATTTCAATATTCCTCTTTTAACCCTCTCACTCAATTCTGTCAGCTTTTTCCATAATTTTTACTTTTTCATTTATCTCTTGTAAATTATTCTTTCATAGGTCCTGACAAATTTTTCTCCCTTTTTCTAAATTCCTTTATGTGTGTGGTTACCCCAGTAACCACTATCTTAAATGTTTATTCTGTATTTGGCTACTGTGCTTTTATTAGGGTTATGCTGGTTATAGACTCTCCTGAGCTGAAATGCCTTGTCTGCTACATTTTATACAAATATCAGAGGCATCAAATCTAAACTAATGGTGCTCCGTAGGCTTTTACGAAAGTTTGAAGTTCTGAGCTGTTACTTAAGATTTCATTTAAAATTTTGAACTTAAGATTTCACAAGCAGTTTCAAACTTACGCACTTATCTGCTTTGTTATAATGTAAACTGTGGTCAGTTTTCTTCTTGTGGACTTTGTTTCTTCCATCAGAGGTTACAATGAATACATGGACTGGGAGAAAGGGGAAGGACAGCCATTCACATATTTTCTCTTTGGAGCTGCTTGTTCAGAGGTTGAAATTAACTGTCTAACAGGAGATCACAAGGTAATAACTGAATGTCAGAGAAGTTTTGAAAGTAATGTGAATAAGGTTTGCTCCAGCAATCATTCAGATTGGGGGTTAATAAATCACCTGTCTTCACATGATAGTAAATATGTCAATGATGTAATTATGAATTACAGGTGGAGCAGAATGGAAGTTGAGCAGTATTAACCAGCTTCTGACATACATGTCAATTCATATGTGCTCACCTTTTGGGTTATGGCTGACATCTAACATGTTCTTTGCTTGTTCTGTCCCCGTTTGCCAGCAAACACCTTATAGCAATATTCAGTTTCCAGGCTTTTGACCATCTGGACAGCTAAAGGCTATAGTCTGATGATCATATGCCCTCTTTCTGTACATTTGTGTGGGGGTTTCCTTGAGCAGTGGGAAAAATCTGGCAAGGCTGTCTCTGGCTAAGCTTCTGTAAAAGTTGAGACAAGCCCATTTTGCCTGTGGTGAGATATTGGAAATTATTCTGAAATTATGTACATGGAGAGCCCATATCACAGTCTTATTTCACTGAATTACAGCTCTGACCCACATTATTTTCTAATGCTTTCAGTCCATCTTTCTGGTGATACAACTTTGAATTTTATTAACAGAACCTCAGAACAGACATTGTTATGGACATTGGATGCAGCATAAATCCAGCTGTGGATATAGGACAGGTATGTGCCAAGAATTTTATGATGCCTTATTTCTAGTACACTACTGTCCTCATGTGAATTGATGATTATCTCATTAATTCAGAAAACATTCATTTCTTACTAGATTATAGATCGCATTAGAATGTCTTTTGCCTATAGACTTGCTCCAACTGAATCAATGTTAGAACTCTGTAGATTTCAAAGAAGCCTAAATTTTACCCACGGTTTCAACCTGTAGTACTTCCAGTATGTTTGTGTCTTCTGTCTACTGGACTGAAATCCTGTTTGTGATCTACAGTCTCCAAGTTGTTTGATCTGCCTTCCCCACTTGATAGCAGGGAAATATCTTTATTCATTGCAAGCTGGTCCACAGATCTCATCACTTCATTATACAAGAATTTGTCTTCTCAGGTATGACAGAGGAATGTGAAAGCTTTTCCATTACAGTTACCCCAAAACATTGAAGAATCTCATTAGGCAATCATGCAGACGTGCATTAGGCCTCACATATATCACAGTAACAGCTAGTGATACAAATGAGTTCTTGGTGAAGTTTTCTCAGTTAACCAAACATGAGTACATAAATGCTACACTTTTCTTATTTAAAGATTGAAGGTGCTTTTGTTCAAGGCGTTGGACTGTACACAATGGAGGAGTTAAAGTATTCTTCAGAAGGAGCCCTCTATACTCGGGGTCCAGATCAGTATAAGATCCCTGCTGTTTGTGATATTCCAGAACAGTTCAGTGTTTCCTTGCTGTCACCTTCTCAAAATCCTTATGCCATCTATGCATCCAAGGTAAGCAGATCATCATAGGGCCTAGTTCTTAGATCCCAGGCCAAACTGAGAAATTACTTTGATGTAAAACACATATAAGTGTTCAGTTCCTCTCCTTTAGCATTTCAAACAAGTGTCCAGTAAATAGTTTTGTTTATGACATCAGGGAAGCTAATAAGACAAAGCCAGATTGTTGTGTCACTTTAACGGTTGGCAAGTAGTGATTTTAGAGTTTTGTTTACAGACCATACACAAAAGCTGCAAGATTAATTTAAAACCATACTTCTAAATGTGGTGATAAACTGAAAAGTTAGAATAAAAATATTAATTGAAGAAATTAATATTAATTATGGAGAAATCGTAATGTCAGTCAGAGTGTGCAGCTTACTTATGTGTACACTGCAATAATAAATAGGACTGTATGTGTTTATTTATGAGAGATTGGCTTTTTAAAATCTTTTTCAGGGGATAGGTGAGGCAGGATTTTTCTTGGGATGCTCTGTGTTCTTCGCTTTGAGGGATGCAGTAACAGGTGTGAGGAATGAAAGAGGACTGAAAAAGACCTTTGCACTGAACAGCCCCCTGACTGCTGAGCAAATACGGGCAAACTGCGCTGATGCCTTTACTCAGATGGTAAGAGAAGGTGGGGGAAGGCTCTGTTTAACAGTGCCTGGGTAGCAGTGTTTACTGATTTTGGCACCCCTAAATACCAAAGTGCCTAATGATGTCTCCAGTCAGTCATGCTTTAAATACAGCTCCTTGGTAACAGATCTCATTTACACAAGTTATTTCAACAAATGCTATTCAGACATTGTATTGGAATTTCCCTGGGTTTTGTATATTTTTTTTTTCTTTGAAATTTGTATAATTTTTACAGCTCTCTCTTTCCCTGAAATCTCTTCCTTTCTTCCGCATGTCAAATCCCATAGAGGATTAAATAGCTCATCTTACTAACGTGCAATGGATCAGCCTCTAAGCGTCTTCAGTCTCCTTCCAGGTGCTTTGCCCCACTGACTGCATGCTGGCACTGTCACTTCATTCTAGTTCTCCTTGCTATGCCCAGTACTCTTTGGGAGAAAAATAATTAACTCAGAGCTACACAAAGAGATAGAAGAAAAACAATCAAGGTAATACACTTCATATAATGCTGATGCTTTATGCTCTGTTTTCTGCAACTGTTCACTGTAATCATGTTCCCACTGCTATTACAGTTCTTTTTCTGGTTAAGTTTTTACTTAGTGAGGCAAGGTCCTTGCCAGCATATAAATCCATGCTGTGTCCTGAGGCTCTGCTATGGAAACTCTTGAGCTCTCATTCACAGATTACTCCCATGGTATTTCTGTGATTGTGGTGAGGCACCATTGGCCCCTGAATCAATAAGTTTGTGGGTTTACTCTCATTGCGGGAGGTGAGGTCCACCAGAGTAAGGGACCATGCTTCTCTATCCCTCTTTAGTCCTAATCCCAGTTATCACTGACTTGGAGGCACCTGATAAGGACAGTGTTGGGAGGTTGTCAGTCAAATAAAGTGACTATTGTCATTTCTTGCTTATCTCTTAGATGGAAAACAATGAAGCTTCCTCCTTGGGCCACATCTGTGTGAATGACAAACCATAGTGCACAAGACTGGAATGGAAAACTGATTTACTGCCCCAAGACATACTAATCAACACACAGATAAATGTATTTTCTCTTTTCCTTAATAGAATCAGCTACCAAAAATATGCACTTTATATCTTACATTCTTATCTTCATTCTTTCTCCAGTGTACTTATTAGAGTATTTTGCTTAAATGACTGCAATTTAATTGTCAGAAATAAATCCTTTGTATGTTAACCATATGTTTTCAACAAAAAATATCTGCTGATCAGCACAGCTCAAATGCTGCAGAAGAAGAAAGTTAGAATGAAGTGTAAAGGTATGCTAGATAACTTACTGCCACATATTACACTAAACAACTTCATATGATAAATGATTTTATAATAGCTTCAGCTAATTTTCTAATTTAGATTTGAGTCTTGCAGTGAACTGTGAGTGCAGAGAATGTTGTCAAAGAATCAGAACCTTGTTTGTTGGATTCAGAGCCTTTTTGACCAGAAGTGATGTTCTGACTTTTAGTAAAGCTGGTTTACAATCTTTTGGCACAGCTATTTTTGTGTTAAAAACATGCAAGAAACAAGAGTTATGATTCTCTTTTGCTATGCTAGGCAAGTGGCCATGGCTGGTCTAGATATATAGAATTTTATCACAAAAGTTGACAGTTGCAATTTCCACCAGAAGCCTTCTTTATCTCATGCAGCAAGCCAAAAGCCTCTGAACAGAATGGGAAAATTGACAGAGTTCAGTGTGTTTTGAATGGGAGAATGGACGGCATGTCAGCCTGCAGGCTCTTATTATTTCACTGCCTCTGTGTTCCACAATTTCTCTTGTCTTCCCTCCATTTGTTAAGCTGACAGTGTATCTGTGACAGAAATCAGGTCAGTCACTTTAACAGCTTTTGCATTGACTATTAAGATATGAAATCTTTATTGTTTCATTTTTTCTCTCTGTAACCATGATGAGTTGGTGAAATGCAGTTGCTAAACAGAGGTGTCTGGACCATTTTAGATGTCATAAGACAGTAGAGACATGGCACAGGAGAGTACAGGACCGGAAGATATACAGTAGCTTGAGACCAGGCAGGCACTAGTAATTGTAATCATTGGAAGTGATTCTGAAAGTGATTTAGGCAGCTGAAGCCCTTTTGGGTTTACTTAAGTTTCTTCACTTTCTTTGTATTAATTTGGCTTTTATATGTTGTTAGAAGTCAATAAATTAAATGTGAATGCTGCTGCTACAATTAATTTTTCTGATTTGAAACATCATCTTAGTTTTACTGTTTGGTGTTACAGAGATGCCTCTGCCCCACCTAAGGTGCAAATGAGACCATGTGCTAAAGTCAATAATCCCAGAGTCACTCTTCTGGAAGAACTACCTTTCTACAGTCCAGGTCCTGGATTTCCATGGGGCATGGGTTATACATGCCATTCCAATCATTTGAGATAGCATGTGTATAAGCACTTGTTTCCTTTCCCATATTTTGTCACAGGGGGAATTCTTTTCTGGATGCTAACCAAACCTTAACCTCTGTTAGGTATGGAATCAGCTCCTTCCTGCTGTGCCAATTGTACTTATCTCGGGTTCCATTGTCTTAAGGGGACAGTGTTTTGAGACAGGCACCAGTCCTTACAAAAGGGTTTAAGTCCTTACAGGACTTAAGGAGTTTGTCAAGGACAGCTTGAAACCCCACATGTTGATAACAGCCTGAAATATGTGTGAATTCTGGGACATACTGAAACAGAGAGCCTACAGATCTACTGAACTGGGGGGGGAGATCTCTTGTCTCTTGTTGTCCTATGTATCTATGCACCAGCACAGGTGCTTGTTCATTCCAGGCAAGTCAAATCTTGTAAAAATCTTGCCCAAACCTTGCAGGCAGTGATATCTTCCCACTTGCAGTACTGAAGTGTTCACACTCCAAGAATTCATCACATTCTAGACCTGCACTTCGTTTTCTGCACTGCAAATCTTGTCTCCTTCTCAGTCATTATTAAAAAAGATTCCTCCCTGCCACTTTACAAGTGGCTCTTTCATCTAGTTGCCTTGGTAAATTATGCAAATGTAGCAAATATGGGTTATTGAGTTTTCTGGGTCTGAAGCATATTAAGCTGTCTGCTGGCTTTTAAGTGTTTGAAAAGCTTCCTGGAAGTTAGGAATTTCAGCAATTGACCATCTTGACATATGATAATATGGCTACATGGGATATTATGAAAGAAGTATTCTTATCTACGGGGAGGTAGATAAGCAGAAATGTTAGGCTTCAAAGGCACTGACTTACTGGATGGCTATTGACACATGAATGTGCACTGTAGCTGCACAGTTACACCCAAACTGGAGATGGTTCAGAAGAATTTTGTACTGATTTTCTTCATGAGAGCAATGTTCCTGTAGCAGTCTACTCTCAGCAGGTCCATTCCATGTGGTGAAAGCCTAAACACCTAACGTAAGTACTAGGTTCTGGTTTGGAGGGTTAGCCTGTAAATTAGATACTGGACTGCCAAAATCAAGGGTTTGGTCTGGTTCTTTCTGTTCTTAGGCCTTTGAGCCTGCATTGTTGTACCTACAATGCACGAGGAATACTGCAGTGGTTGCTACTGATGCACTTGGCAGGACCCATTGGGGCATTTTCCTACAGGGACCTAGTGACTGACATCACTCCAGGGCTTGTGTTGTGTTAGCTCTCAAGGGTGTGTTAGGGGATAGCCACAAAACCAGCAGCTTATCTCGGCTGAGAATCCTCTTATTGCCTTCCAGTAGGAGTGGTAGAAGATCAGTGACTGGCTACTTTGTTCTGCAAGCCTTCACTCACTCTACATGTAATACAGACAGCTTTCCTGTAAAATGTAAAAATAGTAAATTAAACAAAAGACAGGTACATACAATGAACACTTAAAAGATATATCCATAATTCCCCTTAAAAAAAAAGAAAAGGCCGGCTGCAACAAGGCATTTAAAGATTTTTTTTTTTTTTTTCCTGGACATGCATACATAGAAATGGATGAGAATCTAGAATCCCAAATCAGGATTTGGGATTTCCCTCTTTAAGAACACAGCATGTGTTGAATATGGTGCCCACAGCAGAAAGGGCATAGAACTGGCATGGCATAGAGATAACCAGATGGAAATTTTAAATCTGTGTATAGTAATAAAGTCGATTTTGTTAAAATTTGGCCATTCTGCAGAAAAAAAAAATTATAGTTCAGGTTATACCAAAACAAGAACTGTGGCTCCACACCTTTGCTTTTAGCCACTGTAGAGAAGAGGGTAATGTTGAATGTCCTTGGTTTTAGCTTCAGGCACGCTGTGTATTCTAAATTCATCAGTTACTGGATAATATACAGACCTGGAAATAAACAGAATAAACAGACTTGGAAGTTGTGGCTCAAACCCAGAAGTTCCCCCTCACTATTATCTCTTATGTTACAGGGTTAGAATCAGAGGAGCTCAATTTCTTTGCAGATTATTTCAAGTCGCCAGAGAAGAGTTAGGGTGGGGAGTAGGAGGTGGTGCATCAGCATCTGAACGTGCATTAATTACTGAGAAATGGCAAATGTTGCACTGGCTCATCCCCACCTGCTTATTTTGAGACTGAGCATCAAATTAAATTCTGCAGGACAAAGCAAACTCGGTCAATATTTAGGAGCATACAGTATTTAATTCATTTGTCTTGATGCATAAAGCTGTATTTTGATGCAAGAGCATGGCTTGCTTTCAACATTCAGATAAGCAAATATTTTTTGTGACTGGCAGAAAGGTAAGTTATGAACAGAAAGATAAGTTGATGAACAGAATATAGCTATACAATCCAGCACTGCATTTTCCCACAGTAAACATTGCACCCAGTGTGGCTGCAACACATTTGTTATGACCAGTTTCAGGAAATACTGGAAGATCTTTCTTAAGGCTTGATGTATTTCATGCAAAGGTTTAAGAGTGATCAGTCTGATATCCTCCTGTTGTAATCTGTGAATAGATTTAACAGAATTAAAGATTAAAAATTCAATTTGGACATCCTGAATTGTTGAGTGCAACTCAACCTGTAAAGTGTCAAAACTCCTCGTCACCCTAGGAAAGAATCTCATCTATTGACAGACTTGCAACTTAATCTGGCTGTGTGCATTCTTCCCCCACCCCCTTTCAGTTTCTTTGCAGATCCTTTCCAGTCTTTGCAATCCCAAACAATTCCCACCCATGGATCCAGTACAGGAATTTATATTTTCTCCTGAACTAATGGTAGGCCTTACTGACATTTGTTATTTCAAACATAACTGAGTTCCTACAGACCTTGAAAACCTGATGTTTTTGTGAAACTGAAATATCTGTCCTCAGATAAATAGAAGGTGCTAGTTTTAGTCACACATAATAAGACATTTAAATGTGAATAATCTACATGTTGACATTATTACAAATACCTCACTTTTTCAAAAAAGAAATCATTTGCCTCTGCAAAACCAACTTGTCCCATAAGAGGTCCTTTAATTTTGGACCAACTGGCTTTAAGCTTTTCTTTTTGTCAGGCTGACAAGTTAATCCTCTATTTACATCTTTGGAAGCACTGTCAGAGGAGGTATTTCCAAAATGCAATGTCAGTATTTTAATGACACTGACTGTGTGCTGTAAACAATCCCTTGGTTCCATTTGGCTTGCTGTTTTAGTGCATGCTTTATCTCCAGCTGCAGATGCAACATGCAGTTCTATATAGGGATTATCATATCTGCAATCAGATAATCAGACTAGTTTACAGAGCTGTTTTTACTTTTCCGCTATTCTTTTAAAGACTAGATTGTGGCTTTTATTGGCATTTTTAGTAGTTTGAATTTTTTTTGTTTGTTTGTTCCTATACCAACTCTATTTTTCTACCCTGGAGTCTTAAACCTGAAAGCTTTTAATACATAATTAGTCACAGAAAATAGGCAATTTTAATATGTATCTTGATAGGTAGAATTCTGGATGTTCACTGTTGGAGGAATTGGTGGCTTCAGCTTTAAACCTCCAGTCCAAAAAAAAAAAAATGTGTGCCATGTGAAATGTGTTGGTGGAGCATTTGGGGGGAAGGTACTAAACCATCACTCTTTGTTGTAATTGCAGCTGTGGCAGCCAACAAGTAAGTTAATTAAAAAAAAAAAAAAACACACACACACAATAAAAAACAAAACCCAAAAAAACCCACAAGAAGAACTTGCTGAATCAGCCTAACCTCAGACATGGTAGGTTAATAAGAAACTAAAACGTAGAATGGGCTGATTTATTGGCACCACTAGGAGTTTGGCTATGTACATGTAATGTCATTTGCAATTTGCATCAAAAGGCTGTAACAAATGGGGATTTTTCTAATGTTCCTTTTAGGAGTGGGTGTCCACTCCATTTTGTCCTGAAAAGGAATATAGATGTGTTAATCACTGGTAGACAGCACCCTACCTTTGGAAAATAAAAAGTGAGTGACATGAGAAGGTATTTTTCCCAGTTACTGGTTAATAGTTTCTTCTGAGGCAAATCAATATAATTTTATTGACTATCAAGACACAGCAGGAAACCAAAATTCTCCTCTTCTGAAATCCTAACCCAGCACCAGCCTTCCCCAGTCCTTAGAGTACCCTGATGAATTGTATGAATCAAAAGCTATCATCCTAGATCCCATGCAATATCCAGAAAAAGCAGAACCATCCATCCGTTTTTTGTTTTTTTTTTTTCCTTTGGAATACTGCCAGCATCCTAACTGCCCTATCCTATCTGCAGATGATAAATATGTAACTCAGAATTGAATATGAGCCACTTCTCAGACATAAAGCCAGCTCTGCAAGGTAATTCAAGATCCATCTTGTAGCAAACTCTTACTTTTGACTTCTAAATCCTCACATTAAAAATAAATAGGTAAACAGTGACAGCACTGAAATCAATTTGGTAAGTGATGGTGGTAAGGTGTAAGAATTGAGCACCCTAAAACCCTCCAGAACAGGGTTTATGGTTCACTGTGGTTTGGATAAAGAAGACCTGAGGAGTTGGCTTTTCTGTGGATTCTTGCATGAGTGGTAGAGTTTGGCTGATGACTGCTTCTGAGAGAGATTGCTTATATTTTTAATTTTGCTGAAGATATTGCTCACAAAGATACTGTTCAACTCTGGTTATGATTAGAATAGGTTTAGAACTGGTTTGGGAAGAGAAAGGAGGAAAAATTCATTTTTGGTTAAGTCTTGTATTAACCATAAGACAAGGAATGGGACTGTGATGTATGTCAGTAGC